GTTGTCTAGGCTGGTCTTGAACTCCTGACCTCAGGTGATCCGCCTGCCTCAGCCTCCCAAAGTGCTGGGATTACAGGTGTGAGCCACTACACCCGGCTGGAAATGGCATTTTGCTGGGGTTTTTTCTTTATGCTATATTTTCTTAGATTTAGAGATTCCATTGATAGACCTGATATATATATTTTTTGTGGTAAATATATATATGTATATATAAAATACAAAAATTGGCCGGGCGTGGTGGCTCCCACCTGTGATCCAAGCACCTTGGAAGCCAAGGCGGGCAGATCACATGAGGTCAGGAGTTCAAGACCAGCCTAACCAACATGGTGAAACCCCGTCTTTAAAAAAATAAAACAATAAAACAAATAAACAAAAATTAAAAAATCATTATTTTAGGCTGGGCTCCCTGGCTCACACCTGTAATCCCAGGAGTTTGAGACCAGCCTGGCCAACATAGTGAAACTCTATCTCTACTAAAAATACAAAAATTATCCAGGCACGGTGGCACAAGCCTGTAATCCCAGTTACTTACGAGACTGAGGCAGGAGAATTGCTTGAACAAACCTGGGAGGCAGAGGTTGCAGTGAGCTGAGATCATGCCACTGTACTCCGGCCTGGGCGACAAGAGCTAAACTTCGTCTTAAAAAAAAAAAAATTACCATTTTAACCCTTAAAAAAAAATCTACACTTCAGTAGCATTAAGTACATTCACATTGTTTTACAAAGATCACCCTGCCCATCTCCAGGACTTCCTCACCCTCCTCAGCTGAAACCCAGTCCCTATTAAACACTAACTCTCCATTCCACTTTCCCAGCCCCAGACACCCACCATTCTACTTTCTCTTTCTGTGAATTTGACTACTCCAGGGACCCCCATCTAGGTGAAATCTTACATACTACAAAGATTTTTTTTTTTTTAAAGATGGTATCTCGCTCTGTTGCCCAGACTGGAGTGCAGTGGCACGATCTCAGCTCACTGCAACCTCTGCCTCCCAAATTTGAGCCATTCTCCTGCCTCAGCCTCCCTTAGTAGCTGGGACTACAGGCTCATGCCACCAGGCCCAGCTAATTTTTGTATTTTTAGTAGAGAGAGGGTTTTGCCATGTTGGCCAGGCTGGTCTTGAACTCCTTACCTCAGGTTATCTGCCTGCCTCAGCCTCCCAAAGTGCTGGGATTATAGGATATTGTATTGTTTTTATCCAGTTTATTTCAGTTAACATAATGTCCTCAAGATTCATTCATGTTACAGCATGTGTCAGAATTTCCTTCCTTTTAAAGGCTGTATAATATTCCACTGTATGTGTACACCACATTATTTTTGTCCCTTTGTTAGTCCATGGACACAGGATCGCTTCCACCCTTTTGTTGTGAATAATGCCGTGAACATGGTTGTACCAATATCTGTTCAAATCCTGCTTTCATTTCTTTGCATATACGCCCAGAAATTTAATTGCTGCATCATATGGTCATTCTATGTATAAGGTTTCTAAAAACTTTTTAAACTTTAATATATGAACATTTTTTTTTTTTGAGAGGGAGCCTCGCTTTGTCACCCAGGCTGGAGTGCAGTGGCACAATATCAGCTCACTGCAACCTTCACCTCCTGAGTTCAGGCAGTTCTTTTGCCTCAGCCTCCCAAGTAGCTGGGACCACAGACACATCTTATCACCAGCTAATTTTTGTAATTTTAGTAGAGATGGGGTTTCACCATGTTGGCTAGGATGGTCTCGATCTCTTGACCTCATGATCCGCCTGCCTCAGCCTCCCAAAATGCTGGGATTACAGGCATGTGCCACTGCACCCAGCCTTTTTTTTTTTTTTTTTGTAATCGGGGTGTGGTGGAATCCCACTGTGGTTTTGCTTCTCATTTCTCTAATGATTAATGACATGGAGCGTCTTTTCCTGTGCTTTTTGATCATTTGGTATATCTTCTTTGAAGAAATGTCTATTCAGGTTGGGTGGTGTGGCTCTCTCCTGTAATCCCAGTGCTTTCGGAGGCCAAAGCAGGTGGATCACTCGAGCTCAGGAGTTCAAGACCAGCCTAGGGATTATGATGAAACCCTGTGTCTAGAAAAAAAACACAAAAATTACTCGTTGTGGAGACTTGTGCCTATAGTCTCAGCTACCCAGGAGGCTGAGGCCGGAGAATCGCTTTAGCCGGGGAGACAGAGGTTGCAGTGAGCCAAGATCATGTCACTGCACTCCAGCCTTGGTGACAGGAGTGAAACCTTGTCTCAAAAAAAAAAAAAGAAATGTCTGTTCAAGTCCTTTGCTCATTTTCTAATCAGATTTTCTGTTGATGTTGAGATATAGGAGTTATTTACATGTTCTATATATTAAATCCTTATTATATATGTGATTTGCATGTATTTTCTTTCCTTTTTTTTCTTGTTTTCAGTCAGAGTCTCGCTCTGTCACCCAGGCTGGAGTGTAGTGGCATATAAATGGCTTACTGAAGCCTTGGGTTCCTGGGCTCAAGTAATCTTCCCATCTCAGCCTCGCAAGTGGCTGGGACTGTAGGCGTGCAACATCAAACCTGACTAATCAAAAACAAATTATTTTTTTTTTAAAGATGAGATCTCCCTGTGTTGCCCCCTGGTCTTGAACTTTTGGGCAGAAGCAGTCCTCCTGCCTGGGCCTCTGAAAGTGCTGGGATTACATGTGTGAGCCACCGTACCCAGCATATATGTATTTTCTCCTGTCATGTGGGTTGCTTTTCCACTCTGTTAATAGTGTCATTTGATACATAAAAGTTTTAGTTTTGTTTTTGTTTATTTTGTTTTTGAGATGGAGTTTCACTCTCGTTGCCCAGGCTGGAGTGCAATGGTGCAATCTCAGCTCACTGCAACCTCTGCCTCCCAGGTTCAAACGATTCTCCTGTCTCAGCCTCCCAAGTAGCTGGGATTACAGGCATCTGCCACTATACCCGGCTTATTATTTGTCTTTTTAGTCGAGATGGGGTTCACCATGTTGGTCAGACTGGTATCAAACTCTTGACCTCAGATAATCCACCTGCCTCAGCCTCCCAAAGTGCTGGGATTACAGATGTGAGCCACTGCGCCTGGCCAAAAGTTTTAGATTTTTGATGACATCTTGTTTTATTTATCTTTATTTTTGTTTTATTTATCTTTATTTATCTTTAGTTTCAGATTTTTGACATCTCTGTTACCCAGGCTGGAGTGCAGTGGTGTGATCGTAGCTCACCATAGCCTCTACCTCCCAGAGATCCTCCCGCCTCAGCCCCACTGAATAGCTGGGACTACAGGTGCACACCACCATGCCTGGCTAATTTTTGTACTTTATGTAGAGCCAGGGTTTTACCATGCCCAGGCTGGTCTTGAACTCCTGGGCTCAAGTGATCCTCCTGCCTCCCAAAGTGCTGGGATTACTGGTGTGAGCCACCACACCCAGACATGGTATTTTAATTTGTAATTTTCTTTGGTATGTACTCCCCCCACTTTAATTTTAATTTTTTATATTAAAGTAATAGATATAGGCTGGGTATAGTGGTTCATACCTGTAATCCCTGCACTCTGGGAGGCCAAGCTGGGTGGATCACTTGAGGTCAGAAGTTCAAGACCAGCCTGGCCAACATGGCAAAACCCCATCTCTACTAAAAATACCAAAATTATCTGGGCATGGTGGCACGTACCTGTAATCTCAGCTACTTAGGAGGCTGAGGCAAGAGAATCACTTGAAACTGGAAGGCAGAGGTTGCAGTGAGCCGAAATTGTGCCACTGTACTCCAGACTGGGCAAGAAGTGAGACCCCCATGTCAGAAAAAGAAAGTAAGTCATACATACATGCAGGGGCATGGTGGCACACATCTGAAATCCCAGCACGTTGGGAGGCTGATGTGGGCAGATCACTTGAGCCCAGGAATTAGAGACCAGGCCAGGTGAAGACTTGTCTCTACTAAATATACAAAAAAATTAGCTGGACATGGTGGTGCATATCTGTAGTTACTGAGAAGGCTGAGGCATGAGAATCGCTTGAACCTGGGAGGCCGAGGTTGTAGTGAGCTGAGATTGCCCCAGTGCACTCCAGCCTGGCAACAGAGCAAGACTCTGTCTCAGAAAAATAAAGTAATACATACACTTGGTTAAAAAATTGATAATATGGAAATATATAAAAGTGAATATCTTCCTTTTATTCAGAAGGACCAGTCCTCTCTGGAAGTAACCACTCTTACCAGGTTTTTGCATGTTGTTCCAGAAAACTTCGCATGCGCAAAGCAACATAGGTGTCCTTGTAGAAAATGTTATCAGCTGGGCATGGTGGCTCATGCCTGTAATCCCAACACTTTAGGAGGCCGAAGTGGGTCTGTCACCTGAGGTCAGGAGTTCTGAGACCAGCCTGGCCAACATAGTGAAACTCTGTCTCTACTAAAATTATAAAAATTAGCCAGGTGTGGTAGCACACACCTGTAGTCCCAGCTACTTGGGAGGCTGAGGCACAAGAATCCCTTGAACCCGGGAGGTGGAGGTTGTAGTGAGCTGAGATCATGCCACTGTACTCCAGCCTGGGTGACAGAGCAAGACTCTGTCTCAAAAAAAAAAAGAAAATATTATCAAATAGGTTCACACTTTGCTAGGGTTTTTGTTTTGTTTTGACTAAAACACCTTCTCTAGAAAGTATTTGAACAATACCTATTGATGGACATTTCTGGTGTTTTCAGTTTTGAATCTGCACATCGCCCTGGAATGAGCACTTCATTTGCACGTCATCTTGTAATTGTGTATATGTACCTTGGATGTACCTTTTACAGATTGTTGGTGGAGGGACATGTGGTTTTCGAGGAAGATGGTACTGATGTCAACACCTGGCTGCCTCGAGAGTATCGCGCCACATTCCCTACCCTCTCGCCAACCACAGGATTATGCTGAAAATAAAAATCTTTACCAATTTCATAGGCAAAACATGGGGTCTCAGCCTTTTAGCCTGCATCTCTGAGTATGAACGAGGCTGAACATGAAACGAGCTTATTTTCCTTTCAGAAGCCCCTGAATGTGACGGTGATCCGCAGCGGGGAGAAACAACAGCTTAGACTTGTTCCGACACGCTGGGCAGGAAAAGGACTGCTGGGGTAAAGTATCTGTTTCTGCTCATTCTCACTGGGGCATCATTTGAGTGTTTCTTAAACATGAAGCTGGAGGGGAAGGCTGGGGAGACATTGGGGAATAATGGGAATCCCCAGTTTGCATGGAAACTTCAGATTAATCCTCATACTAGGAACCAGACTACAGCTATAGAAGCAGAGGGAGCCCCAGGGTCTGTCCCGTCTGTCCTGGGAGTCTCTCTAGTTCATTTAGGAACTGGGCATTCGATTTTTTTTTTTTTTCCAGACGGAGTCTTACTCTGTCAACAGGCTGGAGTGCAGTGGCATGATCTCGGCTCACTGCAGCCTCTGCCTCCTGGGTTCAGGCAATTCCCCTGCCTCAACCTCCCGAGTAGCTGGGACTACAGGCACGTGCCACCATGCCCAGCTAATTCTTTGTATTTTAGTAGAGACAGGTTTTCACCATGCTGGCCAGGATGGTCTGAGTCTCCTGACCTCATGATCCACCTGCCCAGGCCTCCCATAGTGCTAGGATTACAGGCCTGAGCCACCATGCTTGGCTTACTTTAAATTAAAAGAATGAAAGAACATGGGTGAAAAGGTTAGAAGGGCTCGGCCTCTGACCTTCCTGAAAGGAGCCTCCAAACTTATGCCATTCCTTTTCTTCTCTCTTCCAGCTGCAACATTATTCCTCTGCAAAGATGATTGTCCCTAGGAACAGTTACGGAAGGCATCTTCCCTTGCTCTGGACTTGGGTCTAGGGATTTCCTCGTTGTCTTCTCTCCCTGAAGCATAAGGATCTGGAAGAGGCTTGTATCCTGAACTTCTGGATGCTGGCAGTGCTGTGGCCCACCAGTGTTACCTCTCTGGATTAAGGCATTCTTAAACACTTGTGCTTGGCGTCTTCTGCAAATTAGGCCATGGCCCTAAATGGGAATTCTCCAGATGGTGGGCAAGTGGGTGGAAGTTATTCTGGCAGATGCTGATCTGATTATTATCATTATTTTTAATAAACAGAGTTTTACAGTGCTGATATGACCCTGCTATCACCCCAACTGAAGTTCTGAACTCCCTAAACCAAAGCTCGGATGGGGTCAGAACGGCTTCATAGAAAGCTGGGCAAAATGAGCCAGCAATTGCGAAGTCAGGCTTTGACCAACACATTTCTTTGCACTGAGGTCTTGCTGCTGTGGATATGGAAATTGCTAAGTAGTTCTGTGCTTCCTCAGCGGCTGGGCCTTTCAGACCGCAGGAGCTCCTTTTGGAGAACGGGAAAGCCTGGAGGCAGTCCAGTGTGGTGTCGCGTCAGCTTCCTCTTTAGGATCCCACCAGAGGGCAGCAAGCTCCTTTCACTTTGCCAACAAAAGCCTCTACGTTTTTTTGTGTTTTTGTTTTTTGGAGACAGGGTCTTGCTTTGTCACCCAGGCTGGAGTGCAGTGTCATGATCAGTGTTCACTGAAGCCTCGACCACCTGGGCACTGCCTCAGCCACCCACATATCTGGGACCACAGGTGTGTACCACCATGCATAGCTAATTCATTTTTTGTAGAGACAGGGTCTCCCTGTGTTGATCAGGTTGATCTCAAACTCCCAGGCTCAAGCAATCCTCCTGCCTTGGCCTCCTAAAGTGTTGGGATCACAGGCGTGAGCCACTGTGCTCAGCCCACTTCTAGTTTGACTTTTTATAATTGAACCTCCTGGCTATGCCCTGAGATCAGTACTAATTTGTAAACTGCTGAGGTGTGGATAGGAACGGGTAGTGCTGGCAGATCAGACCTCTTGAAAATGCTTATTCTTCCACCTTTTTTTGTCTTTTTTTTTTTTTTTGAGACTGAGTTTCGCTCTTGTTGCCCAGGCTGGAGTGCAATGACATGATCTCAGCTCACTGCAACCTTCACCCCTGGTTCAAGGGATTCTTCTGCCTCAGCCTCCCAAGTAGCTGGGATTACAGGTGGCTGCCACCAAGCCAGGCTAATTTTTTTGTACTTTTAGTAGAGACGGGGTTTTACCATGTTGACCAGGCTGGTCTCGAACTCCAGACCTCAGGCGATCCACCCGCCCTGGCCTCCCAAAGTGCTGGGATTACAGATGTGAGTTACCGCGCCCAGCCTTGTCTCTTTTAGGATGGTAATATGAGTCCCAGTGATTCCTGCCGATGCTTTGAATTTTCTCTTCTCCATATCATAGTGTTTATTTCCCCAGTTCTTGCATGCCACTTTCTGTTTTGGCGGTTCTGCAAGGTAACCCTGTGTTCCTTGGGACTGGTTTTGCTGCGGTTGGATAGATACCAGCTTGCCTTAATGGGATCAGTATTGCTGTGTGCTTCCAGCCACTGGTTCTCATGCTGAATTCCAAAGCCCTCCTATTGGGCAAATTCCCTCAAACTGCATTAGACCCAACAGCCACACACGTATTCCCCTCTGGTAGCCACAGACATGCTGTGTTTACCAATGTTTGCTGTTTAAATTGCATGTTCTAATTCCAAGTATTTTCCAGTCTCTGTTTATAAGTCTCAGACTATAATAAACACAGCTTGCCTCAGTTTATCCTTTTTTATTTTGAGATGTATGCATATTAATCAAATTACCATCACTGGGGCATAGCAGTGGGGGCGGGGAGAATTATTCACATTCTCCTAAAAGGAAAGCAGCAAAGAGCCTTTTGTCTCAGTGCCTAGTGGAAACCCGTGTGGTCACCTGTTGCCATCTTCCATAAGATTCTAGTGGAGAGTCACTTTGACGTGGAATGAGCCTAATAGATTTAGCCAGACTGGTTTTGCAGAAACGCTCTGTGCTGAGAACTGGAAACGATTGCACCCTATGTCATATCTGCCTTCACCAGCTGGGACTGTCTGCAACACGCGGTGCCCGGTGAGGAGGCAGGCAGGCAGGACAGTTCTGTGCTGCATCCATGAGACCTGGAAATTGTTTGCTTTTGGAAAAAGAGTATTGTATCCGAGTTCATACTTCTCCACCCCATCTTGCCAAGGCTGCGGAAAGTAAAAACTGGCAGTATTGGCCGCTGCAGCGGGGACGGGACCACGGGAAAATGGGGATCGCGAGAGCGGAGGAAGGAAAGCGAGGAAAGCCGATGCCGCCAGCAACCGGCAGGGGGCGCGCCGGCCACGCTCGTCACCGCTTCCTGGCCACGTGACCACTGCCCCGCCCTGTAGCCTTAGGGCCTGTCGCTTCCGGCGGCGGCGTTGCCATGGGGACGGAGCTTGGGTGGCAACCAGAAGTAGGGAGCTGGTGGAGAAGGTGGCGGCTGCTGGAAGGAGGCTGGGGAGGTGGCTGAGGGGTCCAGGCAGCGGGACGACTCTGGCCTTTTGAGGACCGGGGTGGGTTCTCTCTGTAAGTCTGGGGCGGAGGCCACGGGGCCTTGGCTGGGGTCCCCGGCCTGGCGGTGTCTGGCGCCTCTTGCGGGGCACTCACCCGACCCGGGCCTTGTGGGGCCTCGGGCGGCCCCAGGAAGACCTGAGTTGGAGGCAGAGTCCGCACCTGGGCCTTAATACCCCTGCAGAGCGACGGACCTGGCACCCTTGCCCCAAACCCTTGCGGCTCGAACCCGGCCTTCCAGATGCGCCGGCGAAGTTGGGCTCAGTCAGAAGCTGGTGGTGAGAGTCCTCGACTTGAATCACAGCAGTAATTTTTCAGCTAGAGAAACTAAGTGCCAGAGAGATCTCTTTCTTACTAGCAGTGTCATCTTGAGTAAGTCACTTCACCTCTCAGAGCCTCAAACTCATTCATTCATTATTATTGTTGTTATTTTTATTTACTTATTTATTTTTGAGACAGTCTCGCTCTGTCACCGGGCCGGAGTGCAGTCGTGCGATCTCGGCTCACTGCAACCTCCGCCTCCCAGGTTCAAATGATCCTCCTGCCTCAGCCTCCCGGGTAGCTGGGACTACAGGTGGCATCATCAGGCTCAGCTAATTTTTGTATTTTTAGTAGAGATGGGGTTTCACTATGTTGGCCAGGATGGTCTCCATCTCTTGACCTCGTGATCTGTCCACCTTGGCCTCCCAAAGTGCTGGGATTACAGGTGTGAGGCACTGTGCCCGGCCACATTATTTCATTACCTTTTTTTTTCTCTACAGATGAATTTGAGGAGCTGATACATTTAGTGCTAAGAAATTAAGAAATAGAAATACGTTTTCTACCCTGTACTCTTTGGGACTTTATTTTCAAAGAGTTGAGTTCTCTTATTCTAATGTCAACAAAAATGTGAAGATTGTTTTTTTGTTCTGGGTCCAACCCTTTAGGCATGAAGTATCCATCCTTGTTTTCCTAGTTCTCTTGTTATAAGGAATAACAGAGGTATGTCCGAAGGCTTTCAAACTGTTCCTTTCTTTGCACATTCTGGTTGGTTTTCTCTCAAATAATAACAATTGCTACAATTTTTTCAAGCTGTATGTGCCAGAACTGTTTTGAACATTTTATATATGTTAGCTCTTCTTTACAACAACCCTATTATTTAGGATTATTCTTTTTATTTTGCCCATGAGAAATGTGGACTATGAAGAGTGAAGTGACTTGCCCAACGTCACAGAGCAAGTGCCCGGTGGAAATGGGACTCAGTGCTAGTACAGCTGACAGCGAGGCCCACACTTTTAACCACAAGGCTACCCTGCTTCTTCTTGTAGTCCTGTTTCTAGAATTGTTGTTAATATGTGGGTTATGCATTTTGCTGCCTGTGGGAATATTAATATATATTTTTAAATGAGTTAGAAGCCTCCAAGGATTTTATTCCTAGAAAGTAGAGAGGAACTGGATCAATATTTTTAAGATCTGGACCACAAATACATATACTGTAAGATTTCCCGGCCAGGTGCGATGGCTCATCCCTGTAATCCCAGCATTTTGGGAGGCCAAGGCAGGCGGATCACTGGAGGTCAGGAGTTCAAGATCAGCCTGGCCAACTTGGTGAAACCCTGTCTCCACTGAAAAAAATACAAAAATTAGCCTGGTGTGATGGCACATGTCTGTAATCCCAGCTACTCGGGAGGCTGAGGCAGGAGAATCAATTGAACATGGGAGACGGAGGTTGCAGTGAGCCAAGATTGTGCCACTGCACTCCAGCCTGGGTGACAGAGTGAGACCATCTCAAAAAAAAAAAAAAAAAATTCCCCCACAAATATAACATTCTTTTTTTTTTTTTTTTGGAGACGGAGTCTTGCTCTGTCACCCAGGCTGGAGTGCTGTGGTATGATCACTGCTCACTGCAACCTCTGCCTCCCAGGTTTAAGCAATTCTTCTGCCTCAGCCTCCCAAGTAGCTGGGATTACAGGCACCTGCCACCCTGCCTGGCTAATTTTTTGTATTTGTAGTAGAGATGGGGTTTCACCATGTTGGCCAGGCTGGTCTCAATCTCCTGACCTCAAGTGATCCTCCTTCCTCAGCCTCCCAAAGTGCTAGGATTACAGATGTCAGCCACCGTGTCTGGCCAGAAATATGACATTCTTTTTTAATTTAATTTTTGGAGATGGGAGTTTTGCTGTTGTCACCCAGGCTGGAGTGCAATGGCACAATCTCAGCTCACTGCAATCTCTGCCTCCGTGGTTCACATGATCCTACTACCTCAGCCTCCACAGGCGCCCACCACCACACCTGGCTAATTTTTGTATTTTCAATAGAGATGAGGTTTCATCATGTTAGCCAGGCTTGTCTCAAACTCCTGACCTCAGGTGATCCATCTGCCTTGGCCTAGTGCTGGGATTATAGGCATGAGCCACCGTGCCTGGCCAGAAACATGACATTCTTTTTATTCCTGTGGAAAGGGACCAGAGCCAGTTGTGCACATTTAATAGGTTAGCACACTAGGAAATGGAAATGGAAAGCCGAGGGGCTGGCTAGTTATTACGGTCAAAATCTCTCCAGAGGAAACTCTACAGAGAAGGATGTCAGATGCAGAGGAAGCCCCCAGAGAATCGACAGGAAAAAATGGAGAAACAGAAATAGAAGAAGAGGAGGAACCTAATCTAAATTATAAAGAAGTAGAAAATCCGCAAGAGGAAGTGAAAGATGACACATTAGCATGGAGAGAGTCTCAGGAGGAGGAGAAGAAAAAGGGTGAGGAGGAAGAGGAGGAGGGGGAAGAGGAGGGGGAGGAGGACAAAGAGATTGTCATGGAAGAAACTGAGGAAAAAGCTGGAGACGCCCAGGAGGAGGAGGCTTCAGGAATACAGAAAGAAACCGCAGTGGAGCCCCAAGAAATGAAAAGGTCCATGACCAGTTTGGAGACACGGATTACCGATTCCCAGTCAGCCACATCGGGAATTTTCCCAGTAAGAAATCATCTTCATTCATTCATAATCATTAATTGAATGCTTAGTACAGGCCAGACTATGGGAACACAAAATCAAATAAGATACCTTTTTTTTTTTTTTTTGAGACAAAGTCTCATTCTGTTGCCCAGGCTGGAGTGCAGTGGCGCGATCTTGGCTCACTGCAGCCTCTGCTTCCTGTTCAAGCAATTCTCCTGCCTTAGCCTCCTGAACACCACACCTGGCTAATTTTTTGTATTTTCAGTAGAGATGAGTTTTGGTATTACCATGATGGCCAGGCTGGTCTCAAATGCATGACCTCAAATGATCTGCCACCTTGGCCTTCCACAGTGCTAGGATTGCAGGCATGAGCCATCAGGGCCAGGCCACAATCCATTCTTTTTTTTTTTTTTGGACTTTCACTCTTGTTGCCCAGGCTGGAGTGCGATGGTGCGATCTTGGCTCACTGCAACCTGTGCCTCCTGAGTTCAAGCGATTCTTCTGCCTCAGCCTTCTGAGTAGCTGAGATTACAGGCATCTGTCACCACGCCCAGCTAATTTTTTTGTATTTTTAGCAGAGATGAGGTTTCACCCATGTGGGCCAGGCTGGTCTCAAACTCCTGACCTCGGGTGATCCACTCGCCTTGGCCTCCCAAAGTCCTGGGAGACACCACTCCCAGCCACAATCCATTCTTTTAAGGCCCTCTAAGGTGTGTAGGGAGACAGAGCCATGAGTGCAGTGATTGAAAGATGTACAGGAGATGAAGCAGGGCCTCTTGACCCACTTTGGAGGATGGCCAGGGAAAGCTTCCTAGAGGAGGTGTGTGCCACAGCTGAAGTGTGCTCCTTTCAGAATGAATCCAGTATGATAATAGGAGTGTAGGTTTCCCACAGACTGCTCCCAGCAGGAGAACTCAGCTGTGGCCTAAGAATAGGTCACTCTCTGTGAGTAGTCAGCCTTTTGGAGACCACTAGTGCCACTTAGAAGAATGATTTTTCCATTGTGGGTCTGCTGGTAGGCCAAGAATAAACTTGAGCACACCCGTGTTTGTCTTTCCTTGCCTTTGCCATCTTTTTCCCTCTCCCTCTCCCTCTTTTCCCTCTCCTCTCCTCTATTTTCCCCTCTCCTCCCCTCTCTTTTCCCTCTCCCCTCCCCTCCCTTCCCCTCCTCTCTCCTCTCCCCTCCTCTTATCCCTCCTTCTTTCCCTGGGTCTCACTTTGTCACCTAGGCTAAAGTGCAATGGCATTGATCTCTCACAAGCAGCCCCAACCTCCCAGGCTTAAGTGATCCTCCCACCTCAGTCTCCTGAGTAACTGGAACTACAGGCATGCACCACCATGCCCAGCTAATTTTGTTCATTTCCGGTAGAGACAAGGTGTCACTATGTTGGCCAGGCTGGTCTTGAACTCCTGGGCTCAAGTGATCCTCCCCCCTTGGCCTCCCAAAGTGCTGGGATTACAGGCCTGGGCCATTGCACTCTATCTTGTTTTGTTTTTTAGTAAAAATGTTCCAGGCTCTTTCAAAAACATTTCAGAGGCTGGGCGCGGTGGCTCAAGCCTGTAATCCCAGCACTTTGGGAGGCCAAGGCGGGTGGATCACGAGGTCAAGAGATCGAGACCATCCTGGTCAACGTGGTGAAAACCCCGTCTCTGCTAAAAATACAAAAAATTAGCTGGGCATGGTGGCGCGTGCCTATAGTCCCAGCTACTCAGGAGGCTGAGGCAGGAGAATTGCCTGAACCCAGGAGGCGGAGGTTGCGGTGAGCCGAGATCGCGCCATTGCTCCAGCCTGAGTAACAAGAGCGAAACTCAAAAAAAAAAATATTTTCATAATTCCAAGGTGAAGGTAACACTAAGACTGGCTGATTAGGAATAGAAAAGGGAAATAAAAGGTGAAGGTAGCAGCACATACTGTATATGGAATCATGATGTTTTATTTCTTTTTAAAGACAACCCAAAGAGGTAGCGAGTCAAAGCCTTCCTTACGGTCAGAGGATTCAGAAGCAGATGAACTGGAATTTCTGGATTTGGACCAAATCAGTCCTGAGGAACAACAGATGAGTTCCCCTGACAGGCAGCCCTCGGGAGAGCTTGAGGAGAACACCGACCAGAGGCCCCAAGATGAACTGGGACGAGAAAGAAGGGACTTGGAGCCAGAAAAGAGAGAGGAGGGACAAGAAAGGAGCGCATCCTCTATCCAGTCCATAGCAGGGATCTCCAGGGAGTCACTGGTGTCCACCACCACAGAGGACATTTTGTTTCAAAAGGATAAAAATGCCCCGGTGTATCCCTTGGTAAGTAGATTGCCTTTCCACTTCCCCCAGCGCTTTGAGAGTATTTTGCAATAGGGAATTTTACACATCTGGGGAAAAAAAAACCACCAGAAGGAGACTTTTTTTTTTGTTTTTTAAGACGGAGTTTCACTCTTTTTACCCAGGCTGGAGTGCAATGGCACGATCTCAGCTCACTGCAACCTCCACCTCCTGGGTTCAGGCAATTCTCCTGCCTCAGCCTCCCGAGTAGCTGGGACTACAGGTGTCTGCCACCACGCCCAGCTAATTTCTGTATTTCTAGTAGAGACAGGGTTTCACCATGTTGACCAGGATAGTCTCGATCTCTTGACCTTGTGATTCACCCGCCTCGGCCTCCCAAGGTGCTGGGATTACAGGTGTGAACCACTGCACCCGGCCAAGGATACTTTTAAAACTAATAATAGACGTGTGTCTTTTTTTTTTTTTAAGTTGGAGTCTTGGTCTGTCGCCCAGGCTGGAATGCAGTGGCACGATCTTGGCTGGCTCACTGTAGTCTCCGCCTCCTGGGTTCAAGCGATTCTTGTGCCTCAGCCTCCCGAGTAACTGGGATTATAGGCATGAGCCATCATGCCTGGCTAATTTTTGTATTTTTAGTAGAGATGGGGGTCTCGCTGTGTTGGCCAGGTTAGTCTTGAACCCCTTATGTCAGGTGATCCACCTGCTTTGGCCTCCCAAAGTGCTGGCATTACAGGCCTGAGTCACTGCGCCCGGCCTAGACTTCTGTCTTTTAAAGTTAAGAGCTCCGACCAGAACATGTGTGACTGAACATGAACTTGGGAGCTGCATCTGGGTTCAATCGTGTTGCTCAGCAGGCAGGAAATTCCGGACATAGTTTGTCTGTTGCATAGGGTGCTATTTTGTGTGGGAGATTCAGACTCCATCCCACCCTCTCCCCAGCTTCCTCTCCCTCTTCTTCCCCCAACTTTCCCTCATCTCTCCTCCCCTCCAGTCTCCTCTCTTTTTTCTCTTTCATTTGTAAAATTCTTCCCTTATGCCACAATTCCACCCCTTTCCCTTCATGCCCCACCTCTTCTGCCTTGATATCTTTCCATGCCCCCAAACCATCCATTCCAAGAGGGTCCCAGAGTGGAAAGTAATGGAGGAGTGAAAGCCACCGTGAAAAGCCCCAGGCATCCAGAGGACTCTGCCTTTGCCACTGCTGAAAATATTCCAGGGAGGCACCATCTGCGAGGAATAAAAATATTATCATTTACCAAGAGAAGGAAAAGGAGGGGTTTTTTCCTTCTTCCTCCATCTGCTACTTTCTGAAAATTGTTTCCTAGGATTCATCCTTCCTGTAGATTCATGCCTTTGGAAGATGTGGAAGTGATTGAATGGATACCAAACACTTATTGTAGTTCCTAACACACAGTGGGTACTCAGTAAGTGTCCGCGACGGTGTGGCAATGGCGATGTCTGGAGGGAAACGCAGACACTGAAAACCTCCTTTCTGCAGACTGGGCTTCATGTGAGCCTAGTGTCACGGCCTCTCTCCCATCACGTGCACTGTTCAGTCTGAGAAAAGAATACTTGAGCTTCAGGGCCCACAGAGACTCTCGCCTTGTTTAGCCAGCAAACATAAATCAGGTACTATCTCTAAGGAGAAGGTGGATTCTTTGCGTCACGGGTCAGCTATCTCAACAAGAGCCAATCCCCAGGTTTGGGTGTCTGTTAGCCTTTGTCTCATTGCAGAACCAAAATTTTTCTAGATTATCTCCCTTTGCAAATTACTTTAGCTCTTTTTTTTTGTTTAGAGACAGAGCCCTGCTGTGTTGCCCAGGCTGTACTAGAACTCAATCTTCACACCTCGGGCTCCTGAAATTTCTCTAGCTTTTTGAATATATATTCTTTATTTTTCCTTTAGTTTCATTTTCTTTCTCCTTTCTTTCTTTTTTGTTTTTCTTTATTTGAGACAGGCTGTCACTCTATCACCCAGACTAGAGTGCAGCACTGCGATCACAGTTCATTTGCAACCTCTACCTCCCAGGCTCAATGTATCTTCCCATCTCAGCCTCCCGAATATCTGGAACTACAGGCGTGTATCACCACACCCAGCTAATTTTATTTTATTTATTTTTATTTTATTTACTTATTTTTTTGAGACGGAGCCTTGCTCTGTTGCCCAGGCTGGAGTGCAGTGGCGCGATCTCGGCTCACGGCAACCTCCACCCCAGGTTCAAGCAATTCTTCTGCCTCAGCCTCCTGAGTAGCTGAGATTACAGGTGCCCACCACCATGCCCGGCTAATTTTTGTATTTTTAGTAGAGATGGGGTTTCAGCATGTTGGCCAGGCTGGTCTGGCTCTCTTGACCTTGTGTTGCACTCACCCTTGCCTCCCAAAGTGCTGGGATTACAGATGTGAGCCACTGCGCCTGGACTAATTTTAAAAATCTTTTGTAGAAATGGGGTCTTACTATGTCTCTCATGCTGGTCTTGAACTCCTAAACTCAAGCAATCCTCCTGCCTTGGCTTCCCAAAGTGTTGAGATTATAGGTGTGAGCTACTGTACCTGGCCTCTATTTTTTTCTTTTTGTTAAAACTATTCAGTGTTGGCCAGGTGTGGAGGCTCACACCTGTAATCCCAGCACTTTCAGAAGCTGAGGTGGGTGCATCGCCTGAGGTCAGGAGTTTAAGACCAGCCTGGCCAACATGGTAAAACCCTGTCTTTACTAAAAATACAAAAATTAGCCGGACATGATGGCAGATACTGTAATCCCAGCCACTTGGGAGGCTGAGGAAGGAGAATTGCTTGAACCCGGGAGATGGAGGTTGCAGTGAGCCAAGATTGCAACACTGCACTCCAGCTTGCGCAATAGAGTGAGACTCTCTCTCAAAAAAACAACAACAAAAACTATTCAGTGTTACTTGTAAAAAATTTGGACACCTTACACATGTTTGAAGGCAAAGATTCTTCTTTCTGCACATCCCCACCCCAGTCTCATTTCCCTGAGTAAATTCTCACTTTCCTGCCACAGTTTGCTGTGACCACATCTCCCCTGACCTTTTTCTGTACATGTTCTCTGTGTGCTCGTCGTGCCTGTGTGCATGCTCACATGTCTCACATTTAGTTGATTTTTTTTTTTAGTTTCGCTCTTATTGCCCAGGCTGGAGTGCAGTGGTGTGATCTCAGCTCACTGCAACCTCGGCCTCCCAGGTTCAAGCGATTCTCCTGCCTCAGCCTCCCGAGTAGCTGGGATCACAGGCATGTGCCACCACACCCAGCTAACTTTTGTATTTTTGTAGAGACAGGGTTTCACCATGTAAGCCAGGCTGGTCTCAAGCTCCTGACCTCAGGCGATCACCCACCTCAGCCTCCCGAAGTGCTGGGATTACAGGCATGAGCCACTATGCCCAGCCCACTTCTTCTTTTCCAATGTAACTCTTCCTCTCTCTGTGGCCATTTACGTTGCTTCTAATTTCTTGCACACAAGGTCCTGCAATAAACACGCTCCTCCCTCTCTCCTGTGTCCACAGCATCCTCCTTTTCCTTTGGGGTCCCCTGCCTTAGTCCTAAGGCCTGTAATAGCTCCCAGGGCTCACTATCAATAGACATGACTGTGGATTCCACCTCCAGCCAGGAAATAAGGTCATCACGTATTTATGAGCAGGAATCTTATGAATATCAAATAAGTGAAATCTGGTTTTGACAGTAAAGTTTTGTTTTCCAGATTAATATGTTTTAGAAAAAGGTTGATATAAGTGGTGGCTGTCTGCGTAATCTGCCATGCATGTTAAAACTGGTGTAAAACACGATGATTAATACTATTTGATTTCTGTAATTGTGAACGCTGCTCGAGTGGGGTCGTTTTGTTACCACTTAATGAAGTCAGCCTCATGGTGACCCGGGAAGAGCTGTTATGGCTGAAGACAGGAGTCCTTTTAGGAATGTTCTCTTTTTATAACTAATTCGTTAAATGGCAAAATGAATTTCCAGGAAGATGATCCATTTAGGATTAGCAAGTTTCCAAAAGAACAATTTCATTTGAATAAATCAGCTTTTAAGAAACAGCCAAATATTAAATAATTCTGTTCCTAGAAGTTGCAGCTTGAGACAATTATGATTCCATAATTCTACCACTCATACCCACACAATAAGAGATCTAAATATAAATATAAATTATAGGGAATGAGCAGATGGAAACAGGAGAGGATGGGGAATGAAGAATGTGGGAGAGAGAAATTGGCCATGTTACCTGCTATGTCTGTCTTGGGGAGAAGCAATTTAACTTTATAAGTATTGTTCAAAGATAAGAAAGGAAACTTACCAGATTTTGTCTCTATATTCCAATTTAATTCACTGATTCTTAGCAACTCATCACTTAATCATCACTTTCAGCACTCTACTGCATTTGATTACTTGGCCCTAGTTAATTTTTTTAATAGACTTTTTTTTTTTTAGATAGGATCTTGCTATGTTGCCCAGGCTGGAATGCAGCAGCAGGATCTTGGTTCACTGCAACCTCTGCCTCCTAGGCTCAGTCGATCCTCCTGCTTTAGCTTCCTAAGTAGCTGCGATTACAGGTGCACACCACCATGCCTAGCTAATTTTTGTGTATTTTTTAGAGATGGGGTTTCAGCATGTTGCCCAGGCTGGTCTTGAACTGCTGGGATCAAGCAGTCCACCCACCTTGGCCTCCCAAAGTTCTGGGATTACAGACATGAGCCATTGCACCCAGCCTAGATTTTATTTTTGAGCAGTTTTAGGTTTATAGAAAAACCGAGCGGAATGTACACAGGGTGCCCATATATTCCTCTGCACGTCCCTCCTCTCCCAGTGTTCCCTTTTACTCACATCCTGTGTGAATGTGGTCATCTGTTATCACTGATGAGCCAATACTGGTCCCTTATTATTAACCTAAGTCCATAGTGTACATTGGGGGTCACTCTGTGTCATGCTTCTTATGGACATGGACAAATGTACCCTGACATGTACCCACCATTCTAGCATCATACAAAGAGATTCACGCCATGAAGCCCCCTGTCCTCCACCTATCCGTCCCCCTCTTCCTCCCCTGAGCCCTGGCAACCACTGATTTTTTTTTTTTTTTTTTTTTTTTTTTGAGACGGTGTCGCTCTGTCACTCAGGCTGTAGTACAAAGGCACAATGTTGGCTCACTACAACCTCCACCTCCTGGGTTCAAGCAATTCTCCTGCCTCAGCCTCCCAAGTAGCTGGGATTACAGGCACATGCCACCATGCCTGGCTAATTTTTTTCTATTTTTAGTACAGACGAGGTTTCACCATGTTGGCCAGGCTGGTCTCGAACTCTTGAGCTCAGATGATCCACCTGCCTCAGCCTCCCAAAGTGCTGGGATTACAGGTGTGAGCCACTGTGCCCGGCCCCACTGATCTTTTTATTGTCTCCATAGTTTTGCCTTTTCTAGAATGTCACAGAGTTGGAATCATGTAATATGCAGCCCTTTCAGATTGGCTTCATTCACTTAGCAACGTGCATGTAAGTTTCCTCCATACCTTTTTGTGGCTTCATAGCCCTTTTTTTTCTTGCTGAATAATATTGCATTGTCTGGATGTGTCACAGTTGGTTCATTCTTAATTAAAAAAAATACTTTGAACACAAGACAAGTACATAAATGAACTAGTATTGAAGTAAAAGCCATAGTCAGACTTACAGTACTTATAATTTTTCATTTCATAAAATTTTAATTTTGGTTTTATTCCAGGCAATACGGAATTTTTAATTCTTCTAAGAAGATTTTGTCTCCTGGGCAACAGAGTGAGACTCCATCTCAAAAAAATAAATAAATAAAAAGAAAAAGAACAGAAAGTCTTCAACAATACATACAAATAACTTCCTGTTCTTCCACTCCCCAGGACCTAGACTTTGTTCAGTACCAGACACACAGTGAGCACCTAAGTCATGAAATTCCATTTATTTTCTAAAAGCATGTAGAGTAGACAAGTTCCGGTGAAGTCACTGCATACCTTTATAAGACAGGCAAATAGGCTGGGAACCCTGTCTCACGCCTGTAATCCCAGCACTTTGGGAGGCGAGGTGGGTAATCACCTGAGGTTGGAAGTTCTAGATCAGTCTGGCCAACATGGTGAAACCACATCTCTATTAAAAATATAAAAATTAGCCAGGCCTGGTGCCACACACCTATCCTCCCAGCTACTCAAGAGGCTGAGGCTGGAGAATTGCTTGAACCTGGGAGGCGGAGGTTGCAGTGAGCTGAGATGGTGCTGCTACACTATCACCTGGCAATAGAGCGAGACTCCATCTCAAAGAAAAAAAAAAAAAAAAAGAAAGGCAATTGATTATTCAGCCTGGGCATTTGGTCCCTATATACTACTTCTACCGGAAGGATAAAGGATGAAGAGACAAAAGTAGACCAGTGGTTGCCAAGGGCTATGAGCAGCAGTAATGGGAAGTGACTTTATTTTTTGAAATGGAGTTTCGTTCTTGTTGCCCAAGCTGGAGTGCAATGGCACTATCTTGGCTCACCACAACCTTTGCCTCCCAGGTTCAAGCGATTCTCCTGCTTCAATGTCCCAGGTAGCTGTGCCATCACACGTGACTAATTTTTGGTTTTTTTTGAGACGGAGTTTCGCTCTTTTTTTGAAACGGAGTTTCTACCCAGGCTGGAGTGCAATGTCGCGCTCTCGGCTTACCGCAACCTCCGCCTCCTGGGTTCAAGCAATTCTCCTGCCTCAGCCTCCCAAGTAGCTGGGACTACAGGCACGCGCCACCATGCCCAGCTAATTTTTGTATTTTTAGTAGAGACGGGGTTTCACCATGTTGACCAGGATGGTCTCGATCTCTTGACCTCGTGATCCACCCGCCTCGGCCTCCCAAAGTGCTGGGATTATAGGTGTGAGCCACCGCGCCTGGCCTAATTTTTGTATTTTTAGTAGAGATGGGGTTTTACCATGTTGGCCAGGATTGGTCTCGAACTCCTGACTTCAGGTGATCTGCCCACCTCAACCTCCCAGATTTGCCGGATCTGGACTTTCAGATATGTGAAATTATATAATACGCAGCCTTTTGTGACTGGCTTCTTTCAGTTAGCATCACATTTTCAAGGTTCATCCATGTTTTGGCATGATGCTGAGGACTTTCTGAAAGTGGTTGCTCTTCGCTGGACTGTTGATGTGAAAATCTTCCCCTCCAGCCAGTTCCTGGAGTCCCGGCTCTGGGCTGAACACACTGTAATGTCTTGCTGGTTTTGCCCTTGTCTTCCAGACCTTGACCTGGTCGTTTGGATGGAACAGTTCTCTTCCTGTTTACTATATTCGAGAGGAAAAGCAGAGAGTTCTTCTGTATGTTTGTGCTCACACTGCGATCATCTACAACGTATTCAGGAATCATCAGTATCACCTTCAGGTATGCAGGGATTTTCTTCTCTCTCTCTTTCTCTTTTCCTTCTTTCTTCTTTCGAGACAGAGTCTCACTCTGTCGCCCAGGCTGGAGTACAGTGGCTCAATCTCGGCTCACTGCAACCTCTGCCTCCCAGGTTCAAGTGATTCTTCTGCCTCAGCCTCTGGAGTAGCCGGGACTACAGGCGCGCGACACCACGCCTGGCTAATTAATTTTAGTGGAGATGGGATTTCACCATATTGGCCAGGTTGGTCTTGAACTCCTGACCTCATGATCTACCTGCCTTGGCGTCCCACAGTGCTGGGGTTACAGGTGTGAGCCATCGCATCCAGCCGCAGGGATTTTCTTAACTGTAGGTAGAGGAGTTTTCTTTAACACGTGTGTGGTATTTGGTTTTGTATCTCAAGAGCTGACTTCATTCTATCATTGTGGTATTTCCTCACTCTTCTTGGCAGCTAAAGCCAACCCTGTCTTTAGAAACACATGTTATTATTTATTGCCTCTCTGTTTCTGATCAGAGTGAACTTACACAACAGCAGTTGTATTAATTTTATAGTTATGAGAATTTAAAACATATGTATTTTTTATATTTCTGCAAAATGTGGACAGCATAGATCATGTCTCCACAGATGTAACTGTTCAGCAAGGATGCAGACCTCACAGGCACTTAGGCATCTCTCTAGTTTTCAAAGGGCTTTCATCTTATAACCGTACCCAGAAGTGGGTGTTAATATACCCCTTTTACAGAAGAAGAAACTGAGGCTCAGAGTGATTTCAGTGACTTGCCAAGACTGTACTAGTAAATGATGACTCTACATCTCCTGACTTGAAAGTGTTAAGTAGGTCAGTGGTCCTTTTACCACTCCCTCCTTTCAGCAACCTTGCTCATTTCACCCCTCTCTGAGCCTCCCCTACTTGTCCTTCAAGCCTGCCCTCCTAAGAGTACTCAGTTTCCTTCATTCCTGAAATTTGGGACCCATTTCATTTTCTTTTTTGTTTTCTCTTTTTGGTGAGACGGAGTCCTGCTGTGTTGCCCAGGCTGGAGTGCAATGGCACAATCTCGGCTCACTGCAATCTCTTGACTCCTGGGTTTACGCAATTCTCTTGTCTCAGCCTCCCGAGTAACTGGGACTACAGGCGACCGCCACAATGTCCGGCCAATTTTTTTATATTTTTAGTAGAGACGGAGTTTCTCCATGTTAGCCAGGCTGATCTCGAACTCCGACCTCAGGTGATCTGCCTTCCTTGGCCTCCCAAAATACTGGGGTTACAGGCGTGAGCCACCGCGCCTGGCCGTTTCATTTTCATCATTTACCTTTCCAAGCATCCTAATCCTTGGTGTCTGACTTTCCACCTGTTGACCTGGAAAATGGTTCCATGTTATCCTTTCAGTTGACACGTGTTGCTACAGGAGCGTCCTTGGTGATACCTAGATTAAAATCACCATGAAGTAGTTACCAAGGGCCCAGTCCATACTCAGTGTTATGCCGGGGACTCAAGACCTCTGGGTGCAACTTCAGGAATTCACTCTCTAGAAGTCCAGAAATACGCAGGCCGAAATCTGCAGGCAGCTCCCCTTGGAGCTTCATTGAATGCGTGGCAGTGAGCATAGCGGTGATGGCAGACAGAGAAGGGAGAGATTGCTGTGGGTGGGCTCGGATAGTCAGGGTGAGCAGGGTGCTCAGATGTCCTGGGGTGGAGGGAGGCAGGAGTCCCGCCTCCCTAGGGCCAGAGGGCTGGGAGTGGCCTTAACCAGCCATTATTTGTTCCACAAACAGTTATCATAGCCGCTGTGTTTCAGAGTATAGGTCTGTAGTAATGAACACAATAGATGTATTCCCTGCTCTCACGGAGCTTCCAGTCTAGTATGGAGAAAGACTTTCAATAAGTGAACACATAAATGAATACAAATTGTAACCAGTGCTTGAAAGGAGATGTGAAAACACTCGAAGAGAGAAAAATGAGGGTAAGAGAAGACTTCATATTAGATCGGGTGGGCAGGGATTGAAGAGGTGCTGTTTCTGCTGAGACTTGGAGGATGAGAATGAGCCAGTCAAAGACAGTCTGGGGAAGAACATTCCAAACAGAGAGAGCAACGAATGTTCAGGCCTTGTGTGTGGGGCCGGGAAGGAAGGCTGGTGTGGCTGGCGCACAATGAGGGCGAGAGAAGAAGGAGGAAAGAGGGGGCCGTCTCCCAGCAGGAGATGCTGCCATTTGTGTTTCCAGAAGATTCCTCTCTTGTGTGCATGGAAGGATTGTAAGAAGTTAAGAGTGGAAGCAGAGGCCAAGTATGGTGGCTCATGCCTATAATTTCAGCACAGGCCAGGGCAGAGGAGGCCGAGGTGGGTGAGTCGCTTGAGTCTAGGAATTTGAGGCCAGCCTGGGCAACATAGCAAGACCCTTGTCTCTACAAAAAATTTTAAAATTAGCTGAGGATGGTGGCATGTGCCTGTAGTCCCAGCTATTTGGGAGGCTGAAGTTGGAAGATTGCTTGAGCGCAGGTCAAAGCTACAGTGAGCCAAGATTGTGCCAGTAAACTCCAATCTGGGTGACAGAGTGAGACCCTGTCTCAAACAAAAAGAGTGGAAGTATAGAGACCAGTGAGGACCTTTTTGCTCCAGAGCTGCTCAGAGCCCTGAAGTGAGCAGTGCTCTAGAGAGAAGAGGCTGGCAGCATGACTCAGAGTGGCTGGGGGCAGGCGAGGGCCCAGGTATTTATCCTGCACTTGGGTTGGGAGTTGCTACATGCCTTGACCTCGAGGAGCTGCTGTTCACATGGGGAGCTTATCTGTCAGGTGTTTGGAGGGATAGAGTTTGAAAATCCCACTAGGAGGTGGAGAAACCCCCAGGAAGGCCAGTGGGAACAGAATTTCCAGCCAGATGACCATTGAAAGGAACTCAGATCTGTCTGTGGGGCCCCAGTCTTTGCTGATAGTGACTGAGGCTGGGCCGTATCTTGGATATTTCAAAGCATTTTCTCTCCATTTCCATAGGGCCATGCCAATATTATCTCCTGCATCTGCATCAGTGAAGACAGGCGGTGGATCGCCACAGCAGACAAAGGGCCAGACTGCCTGGTCATTATATGGGACTCCTTCACAGGGTAGGCTTTGTGTAGTCACTTCTTTTTTCCCCTAATTTCTTTAGAGTGTCTGCCACTGTGACTAAGCAAAGAATGAGGCATGCCAATGCCTAGAAATAGGATTTGTTGGTGTTCCGCAGTAGACCGGCCTTATGCTGACTTGCACTAACCCAACTCACTCAAGCTCAAAGCATAACCCAGATGGCAAATCTGTCACTTACAGCGAGAAACATTACTTGTACAAGGACAGATTTCCTAGTGGCTGGTCAGGCCGCCTCTTCTGGGCAGTTCTTAATGGTCACTACCAAGTGTTCCTGTCGATCCCTGCTCCCCGTTCTCTACATTTCTTGTTGAATACGTTCGATCTGCTTGCCTATTGTGGCTTTAGGTATGGTAATACTGGGAGGCTTTCCAAAGCTGCTGTTTCTCTGCGGTCCCTCTCTAATTCTAACAACCCACCATTGCCTCTTTTCTTTCGAGACAAAGTCTCACTCTGTCACCCAGGCTAGAGTGCAGTGGTGCAATCTCGGCTCACCACCACCTCCACCTCCCAGGTCCAAGTGATTCTCCTGCCTCAGCCTCCCGAGTAGCTGGGACTACAGGTGCCTGCCACCACGCCTGGCTAATTTTTTGTGTTTTTAGTAGAGGCGGGGTTTCATAGTGTTACCAGGATGGTCTTGATCTTCTGACCTCATGATCCACCTGCCTCGGCCTCCCAAAGTGCTGGAACTACAGGCATGAACCACCGTGTCCGACTGCCTCTTTTCCTTTATCGTGCACTCGGGGTCTCACTCCATTGCCCGCGCTGGAGTGCAGTGGCGCAATCATAGCTCATTGCAGCCAGGAACTCCCAGGATCAAGCAAGTCTCCTGCCTTGTCCTCTTGAGTAGCTGGGACCACAGGCGCATGCAACCACACCTGGCTTACTGTTTTTTTGGTAGAAATGAGGCCTTGCTATGTTGCCTTGGCAGGTCTTGAACTCCTGGCCTCAAGAGATCCTTCCATCTTGGCCTCTCAAAGCACTAGGATTGTAAGCATGAGCCACCTTACCTCGCCTCTTTTTAAATAATTTATTTTATTATATTTTTGTAGAGATGGGGGTCTAGTATTGTTTCCCAGACTGGCCTTCAACTCCTGTGCTCAAGCCATCCTCCTGCCTCAGGCTCCCAAAGTGCTGGGATTATGAGTGTGAGCCACTGCACCCAGTCTCTCTCTCTCGTTTTTTATTAACAGACTTTTATTTTTAGAACAGTTTTAGATTTACAGAAGAATTGGGAAGATAGTACTCAAGATTCCCATCTACCCCACACCCAGATTCCCACATTAGTTCATCTTACGTTAGTAGGATCAATTTGCCATAATTGATGAACCAATATTGACACATTATTAACAAACATCCAGGAGACCATTTGATTTAGCTGTGATGTCTCCTTAGGCTCTTGTTGGCTCTGGCAGTTTCTCAGACTTTCCTTGTTTTTGATGACTGACAGTTTTGAGGAGTACAGGTCAGGGATTTGGTAGAGTGTCCATCTATTGGACTGTGGCTGATGTTTTTCTCAAGTTAGCCTACAAGCCTTTGGACACACTCTGGTGTCTAAGAAAAGAGTTATAGTGGCCTTCTTAACCTGGGGTAGTAAGGCGTGCTTGCTTTGTTCGAGTGTCATAGAAACCAGGCTAGGTGGTGAGGGGAGGTGGACAGCCACAGGCTCTCTGGGACTGGAGCCAGGTCCGGAAGGCTGGGGTTCTCACCCTCCTTGTATCTGCTTCTGTAACTCACTCTCCTCCTTCCCTGGCTGGGGGCTGACTGGATGGAGGGTTTCTCTGGTATTGAGGTCATCATCCTTTATTGCCTTTCTTCCTAACTCATAAAATTCAGCTTTTCTGGTCTCTTTTCTGTTAGTGCATCAGACAAGGAATGGTGGAAGTTCTATGGGCTGGAGCAGTGCTGCTCAAAGCGGGGCCTGCAGGCGGAGCTGATCAGTCAGCCGGTCCTGGGCTATGTTGAACAGAAAATACAGAAAATGAGAGGGGGCCTTTGGAACTTTGATAGCAATTTGTTCTTGCTATGATATTTTTATTTTGTAAAAGTATTTGATCTGGGCTAGGTGCAGTGGCTCCTGCACTTTGGGAACCTCCCAGCACTTTGGGAGGCTGAGGCAGGAGGATCACTTGAGGCCAGGAGTCTGAGAGCAGCCTGGCCAACATAGTGAGATTCTGTCTCTACAAAAAGTAAAAATTTAACCATGTGTGGTGGTGCATGCCTGTCATCCCAGCTTCTTGGGAGCCTGAGGCGCGAGGATGGCTTGAGCTTAGGTGTTTGAGGCTGCAGTGAGCCATTATCATGCTGTTGCACTCCTGCCAGGGTGACAGAGTGAGAAACCCTGTCTCGAGAAAAAAAATATGTATTGGCCCACAATAGACTAAAAATGTCTTTCGCCACAGATAGTTTGTGTAGTGCTGGGCAAGAAGATATCTAGGCAGTTGGGGGGCACTGTGGGGCTGAGCATGCCACTTTGTGTGACAGCTCTCAAGCAGAAGGCCGGCTTATCTGTCAAGGACATTGGGATTGGGGCTGGAAGTTTGGACTGTGGGGTTGTGGCGTGGTGTAATCGATAGGAATGCAGTAGGGGTCCACCAAATGAAGGGAAGGAACTGTAGGGTTCAGGGCAGGCCTTGTGGGGACAGAAGGCACGAGCCTGCAGCAGTTGGGTGGGTGGGAGGAACGTGGTGATGCACATCCAGCCGTGCTGGCCAGGTGGGAATAAGAACAGGGAATGTGACTGGTGGTGGCTTGCCTGGGCGAGAGAATTGGAAGGGAAGAGGGGAAGGGGCCCTGGGGACTTTAGGGTGACATGAAAGAGCAGGTGGCAAGAGGAAGGTGTGAGTATGGGCTCTGCCATCCTCCTGGGCTTCCGTGCCTGCTTGGCCATGGTCTGCTGTGTGACTTGGAGGCCCAGAGAAGAAAGTGACTTTCCCATTTGTGGAAAAAATAACAATGATACCTACTGTTTTTTAACTTTCCTTGGGCTACTGTAACAAATTACCTCTAATGATGTGGCCTAAAATAAGAGGAATTTACTCTGTTGCAGTTCTGGAGGCCAGAAGTCTGAAACCAAGGTGTTGGCAGAGTTGGCTGCTTCTGGGGGCTGTGAGGGAGAATTTGTCCCAGGCCTCTCCCCTCGCTTCTGGTGGCTACGGGTGACTCTTGGTGTCCTTGGCTTGTGGATGCATCCCCCAGTCTCTGCCTCTATCTTCCCATGGCATTTCCACCATCACCCATCTGTGTCTTCTTGAGGACACTGGACATTGGATTTGGGACCCACCCTAGTCCAGTATAACCTCATCTTAACTAACTACATTCACAAAGGCCCCGTGTCCAAATAAGGTCATATTCTGAGGTTCTGGGTGGACCTTCAGGGACCATTACTTACCCATTAGACCCAGTGCACAGGATGTTGTGAGGCTTGCTAGAGCACAGTACCCGGCCCACGATAGAGGATCCTAGATGGGTTTTCTTTCTTAACTCCTGGCCTAGAGGCAGAGAGCAGTCAGATTCACTGACAAGATTGTTTGGGCCTGGTTAGTTGGGTGCATGGGTGGGGACAGGGGAGAGTTCAACGAATGAGTCCAGATGCATGCGGAGGTTAGGAAGAAGTTATGTTGAATGTTCTAGAGTGGGGGACACAGGAACTGCTCTTCCACATGTGACCGGTGACCTCCAGGGGGTCACATTGCCCAACCCCGATCTTCATCTGACTTGACTTCTCTGTGGCATCTGACACTTCATTTCCTGTGGCTTCTCTGATTTCACATCCCTGCAATGATGGCCTTTGTGTCTGGTGTCTTTCGCTTAGCGTCGTGCTTGAAGGTTCATCTGTGGTGTGGCACATGTTGTTTCTGTGGTGGAATCACACTGCATTGTATAGAAAGACCAAACAACGTATGGTCTTTCATCTGGTTTTTTGTTTTTGTTTTTTTGAGACAAGGTCTCACTCTATCACCCAGCTGGAGTGCAGTGGTGTGATCACGGCTCACTGCAGCCTTCACCTCCGGGGCTCAAGTGATCCTCCCGCCTCAGCCTCCTGAGTAGGTGGGACCTACATGCCACTAAGCCTGGCTAATTTTTTTTTTTTTTTAATAGAGACAGGGTCCTGCTATGTTGCCTGAGCTGGTCTCGAACTCCTAGGCACAAGTGATCCTTCTGTCTTCACCTCCCAAAGTTCTGGAATTACAAGTGTGAGCCGTTGTGCCCAGCCTCAGCTGTTATCATTGTTGTTGTTATTATTATTGACACAGGGTCTTACTCAGTTGCCCGGGTTGAAGTGCAGTGGCACAATCTCGGCTCACTGCAACTTCTACCTCTTGGACTCACATGATCCTCCCATCTCAGCCTCCCAATAGCTGAGACCACAGGTACACACCACCACATCCAGCTGATTTTTTTGTATTCTTTTTTTTAGAGATGGGGTTTTACCATGTTACTCAGGCTGGTCTCGAATTCCTGGGCCCAGGTGATCCACCCAACTTGGCTTCCCAAAGTGCTGGAGTTACAGGCATGAGGCACCACAGCTGGCTCATCTGTTTAATTTATATATAAAAAAAGATTTTAGTACATTTTAATAGAAAACTGTTAAATTTAATGAAAACCAGGCCAGGTGCAGTGGCTCATGCCTGTAATCCCAGCACTTTGGGAGGCTGAGGTTGGTGAATCACTTTAGGTCAGGAGTTCCAGCCAACATGGTAAAACCCAGTCTCTACAAAAATACAAAAAAAATTAGTCAGGTGTGGTGGCGCATGTCTGTAATCCCAGCTATTCGGGAGACTGAGACAGGAGAATTGCTCGAGCCCAGGAAGCAGAGGTTGCAGTGAGCCGAGATCGCACCATTGCACTCCAGCTTGGGCGACAGAGCGAGACTTCATCTCAAAAAAAAATTTTTTTTTAATGAAAACCAATACATTTTCATGGAAGGCACTGGCTACCATCTCCAATCCTAGTTTTCATTCTAGAGGTAATCAATTTGGTATATTTCCTTCTAAAACATTTGCTATTGTTTTAAACACGTATATATGGATAGCTTCATGTCGTTTTTCTCCACAACATTGTTAGTGCGATCTTTTCCCAAACATAAATCTGACTGGGTTGCCACCCTGATTAAAACCCTTTAGAGACTGCCCGTTGTCAAATCAGCTTATGCTACAGGGAACACGCACCCTGCGTTAGGGCCGTGCAGACGCTTCCCCCAGAAAGTGAAATGCCTGCTGCCTGCATGCGTAGCCATCTGCAGTTGCTACGGGGCCTCAGCTGCAAGTAATGGCACATCCAGCTTAACCACAGGGAAAGCTGTTATCTCATGCAGTAGGAAATCTGCGGTCAGCCGGCTGCACCTGAAGGGTGGGAGTCCTTCAGGTGTGTCTTGTCTCTGAAGCCTTTGCTGACCGATGCCTTCACCAGACAGAGCTGCCCCTTTATGACGTTGATCCACTGTATTTTTCTTATTTGTGAAACTGCATCTCTATTAGACACAAAGCAACGTGAGGGCAGTGATTTTTTAAATAAAAATTACACAGTAAAGCATATCTGTGATTAATAATGCAAATGCTATGTTAATATGAGTTTTATGATATCCCAAATGATTCCTTTGGGGCCCAGAAAAGATTATTCAGAGGCTGTTTTGGTTTTAGAATTAATATTCATTTTATTAGTCATGAATTAAAAACCGTAGTTCTTCCTCCAGTTTTTTACTCACCTTAAAAATCTTATTCTATTTAGAAATCCAGCATATTTTTGCAATCACCTTTAAGGAGGGTTTGATTAATGTTTGGCCCCACTTACAAATTTTGTTATTAACTTCTTTTAAACATTTTAAACTGCATTTTGAAATTTAAGATACTCAGTTTCATTAAGTTTTTTAGCAGTCTGATTAACAAATCCTTCGTGCTACTTAAGTAATTTCTGCAAATCTAGGAAATTAGACATAAATATGGTAAGTCTTAAGTTCTCTTACGTGTTCTAATATTGTTTATAAACCTAATATGATTTCAATTTAAAATCACAAGTCTAAGAAAACCATATATTTTAAATTAACATCACAAATCTAATCTGTTAGCAACGATGGTATGTCAAATTCACTTAAACATTACAAATTCCTAAAAAATGACAAATTCTCTTATCACAAATATGTTAATAATGCAGGTCCGACTGACTTTATCTTCTCTATATTCAATTCCAAGATCTCCAGGGATAAGATACATTTTCTCACTAAGGACTTCACTGTGTTATTTTCAATATTTTGGGATTGCCTTCCCAGGTGAATTGTTGGGGCTCCTTCTCAGTGGGATGAAGTTTCTCAAGTGACAGAGAACCACAGAAGTCCTCAGCTGGGACACAGACTGGGTGCCAGCCAGTTGGGATCCTGGTGTGACATACAGAGATACTGAGGCCTGTTTATCTTCACTGTGACTAGGACTCCATAACCAAAAAAAAAAAAAAAAAGGAAAAGAAAAAGAACCACGCAGCCCGAGTTCCCGGTTTAAGTCTTGCTACCACCCACTTTTCATTTTAGTGGGAGTCAGTGGACCTCCCCCGACCCAAACATTACAACTTCCATCTTCGCTTCCACTGCTTCTGCACGCTTTGGCTCCCTTAGATACTTACATTTCATCTAAGTCTGTGTGTTTCAAGGCTTTGTCAGAATTATACAGCTCTAAGGTCTTGTCAGTAACACAGTACGGAAGTATAAGAGCAAAAAATAACAGCTCCTCCTCACCCAAACCCCATCTCCAGAGGAACCATTGCTTACAGTTTGGACTCTATTCCTGCAGAAGTTTTTTGACACACACGCAGACAGACAGACAGACAGACAGACACACACACACACACACTTAGGATGATGCTATTGTTTTGCAATTTGCTTTTTTCACGAATTTCCCGATGTACCTCATTCTTTTTGAAGGCGGCACAATTTTTATTTTTATTTCTTTTATTTATTTATGTAGAGATGGAGTTTTGCTCTTGTTGTCCAGGCTAGAGTGCAACAGCGCAATCTTGGCTCACTGCAACCTCTGCCTCCCAGGTTCAGGTGATATTACTACCTCAGTTTCCCAAGTAGCTGGGATTACAGGCACCTGCCACCACACCCAGCTAATTTTTTGCATTTTCAGTAGAGATGGGATTTCACCATGTTGGCCAGGCTGGTCTTGAACTCCTGACCTTAGGTGATCTACCTGCCTTGGCTTCCCAAAATGCTGGGATTACAGGCATGAGCCACCACGCTGGCCTTATTTTTATTTTCATTTTTTTGAGACAAGGCCTTGCTCTGTCACCCAGGCTGGAGTGCAGTGGCATGATCTCGGCTCACTGTAGCCTTAACCTCCTGGGCTCAAGCATTCCTCCCACCTCAGCCTCCCAAGTAGCACATGCTACCACACCCAGCTAATTTTTGTATTTTTGGTAGAAATGGGGTTTTGCCGTGTTGCCCAGGCTGATCTCAAACTCCTGAACTCCAGCAGTCTGCCCACTTCAGCCTCCCAAAGTCCTGGGATTACCGGCGTGCAACACCACATCCAGCCTAGTTTTTTATGATATAGTTATGCTATAATATCTTTTTAAATAACTCATATATGGGGCCAGGAGCGGTGGCTCATGCCTGTAATCCCAGCACTTTGGGAGGCTGAGGTGAGTGGATCACCTGAGGTCGGAAGTTTGAGGCCAGCCTGACCAACATGGAGAAACCCCATCTCTACTAAAAATACAAAATTAGCCAGGTGTGGTGGTGCATGCCTGTAATCCCAGCTACTCAGGAGGCTGAGGCAGGAGAATTGCTTGAACCCAGGAGGCAGAGGTTGTGGTGAGCCGAGATTGCTCCATTGCTCACCAGCCTGGGCAACAAGAGTAAAACTCTGCCTCAAAATCAGTCAGTCAATCAATCAATCGATCATGTCTGGTATATTAAGGGGCATTTGTGGTGTTTGAATTTTTGCTATTGGAGCAGAACCATGATGACTGCGAGTTTTCGTTGACCTTTGTTTCCTTTTTCCATGATTTCTCTAGGACAGAGTCATAGGACTGGAGTTACTGGGCTATCGGGTGTATGCGCTGAAGAGTTTGATAGATGCAGCCAAACTGCTTCTAGAGAGGTGGTGCTTCTTTGCATTCCCACCTACGTAGGAGAGTGCCCGATTCCCTGCGAGCTGGGATGTTGTTCTAGTCATCTTTTCATATTTACAGCCTGGCACAGAATTAGTGCCCTGGTAACTAGTGAATGCAAAACTAGAGCTCATGAAGACAGCAAACAGCAGGGCCATTGCCCTGAGTTAGGCCTGACTATTGCTGTTGGGGTTAAATTCGCGTAACATAAAACGACCATTTTAAAGCATACGGTTCAGTGACATTTAGTATATTTACACTGTTATGCAATCATCATCTCTGTCCACTTCCAAAACATGTTCACCACCCCAGAAGGACACCCTGCACCCATTATCTGTCTCCATGGGTTTGCCTATTCTGGGCATTTCATGTGCGTGAAATCATCCACCATGCAGCTTTTGTGTCTGGCTTCTTTCACTCAGCATCATGTTTTCAAGGCTCATCCATGTCATAGCAAGTGTCAGTGCTCCTTCCTTTTTTTTTGTTGGGATGGAGTCTTGCTCTGTCACCCAAGCTGGAGTGCAGTGGCATGATCTCAGCTCACTGCAACCTCTGCCTCCCAGGTTCAAACCATTCTCTGGCCTCAGCCTCCCAAGTAGCTGGGTCTACAGGCATGCACCACCATGCCCAGCTAATTTTTGTATTTTTAGTAGAGATGGGGTTTCACTATGTTGGCCAGGATGGTCTCGATCTCTTGACCTCGTGATCTGCCCACCTTGGCCTCCCAAAGTGCTGGGATTACAGGCGTGAGCCACCACTCCTGGCCAATTCATTCCCTTTTATGGCTCAAAAATATTCCCCTATATGGATAGACCACATTTCGTGATGTTTTTGGGAGGTTTGAGCTGAGCTCAGACCTGCCCTGGGCCTCTCTGGGATGCCAGGGAGACCTCAGCAGGTGTTGTCCCTCCTTGTCCTGTTTTGCAGTATTCCTGTGCACACGATATTTGACAGCTGCCCCGAAGGGAACGGTATCAGGGCAATGGCCATGGCCCACGACGCCAAGTATCTGGCAACCATCTCAGATGCTAAAGTCCAGGTAAAGGCCCTTTGGATCAGCCTCAGCGAGCTGGCCGATTTGTCCAGGGTGTCCACGTGGGCAGCTCTGTTCAGGCTGTGTGATGTCTGTGACACTCTCAAAAGACCGGACTCCGCAGCACAGAGTCCGGGCCTCTGTCCTTAGTTACTTGAAGTTTCGGGGTCACAAGAGGTGTGAGCTACTTCAGCAGCCTTCACAGACCTTCTCATGCCCCTCCGTCTGCTGTCCCCTTCAGAAGGTGTGCATCTGGAAGTGGACTTTGGCAGCGGAAACACCAGCATGTACCCTCGAACTCCCCAAAGAGTACGGTTTGCAGGTGAGTTCAATTTGAGCCTGTAAATAACCTAAAGTTATACTGATGCCAGGCCAGGCTGGGTGCAGTGGCTCACACCTGTAATCCCAGAACTTTGGGAGGCTGTAGTGGGTGGATCACTTGAGGTCAGGAGTTTGAGGCCAGCCTGGCCAACATGGTGAAACCCCATCTCTACTAAAAATATAAAAATTCCCTCAGTGTGGTCGTGATGCCTATAGTCCCAGCTACTTGGAAGGCTGAGGGGTAAGAATTGCTTGAACCTGGGAGGCAGAGGCTGCAGTGAGCCGAGATTGCGCCACTGCACTCCAACCTGGGTGACAGAGCAAGACTCTGTCTGAAAAAAACAAAAACCAAGTTCTACTGATACCAGGCCAAACCCTACTTTTTGTTTCAGTGGAGTTGTGTTATGGTGCAATAGAGCTTTATTTTGATTTGAGATAGAGTCTCACTCTAGCCCAGACCTCAGTGCAGTGATGCGATCTTGGCTCACTGCAACCTTTGCACCCCGGGCCCAGTTCAAGCAATTATCCTGCCTCAGCCTCCTGAGTAGCTGAGATTGTAGGCACATGACACTATCCCCAGCTAATTTTTGTATTTTTAGTAGAGATGGGGTTTCACCATGTTGACCAGGCTAGTTTCGAACTCCTGACTTCATGATCCACCTGCCTCAGCCTCCCAAAGTGCTGGGATTATAGATGTGAGCCACCACGCCCGGCAGTAGAGCTTTTAAAGCCCTTTCATTTCCTGATTTCATTTTACTTTGGAAATAATAGCTAATATTTTTCAAGCACTTATTATGTTCCAGAGTCTGCTAAATTTTTTGCTTGCCTTATCTCACATAATCCATGCAAACGTGCTAGCAAAAAGATTAATATCTATGGAATACTAGCATTAATTATTAAATAATTTGTCTAAAGTCACTACCCGGCAGCCTTTCTTATTCTAGAAGTATGCTGTTAACTGCTTCAAACCTTGTAAAACTAACTCTGAGGAATATAGAGAAGTTATTATTATTGCTCCTAACTTACATAAGGTGACTTGCCAAGGACACCCAGAAAGTTTCCATCAGGTCTCCCGATTTCCTGGGTCACTGCTCTCTGCTGTTGTGACTTGTCCCATTCATCCTTGCATGCTTCATCTGTCATACATTTATCAAGTACCCGTTCTGTGCCAGGCACTGTGATAAGCACATACCTGGCTTGCAGGACCAAACCAAAATAGAGGGTTTGAGTGACTAGACTCAGCCAGGCACATATGGTTACGCAGCCTTACGTCCATCTTCTTTCCTTTCCCCGAAACATTCCTCTTGCCCCTGAAAAAAATTTCTTACTCCTTAAAGTTGTGCCAACACAGTAGCCACCAACCATATGTGGCTATTTAGGACAGGTTTCTTTATTGCTGCAAAAAAACACCTTTGAGGTTTTGATGGAGATTACATTGAATCTCAGGTCACTTCGGGTGGTATCATCATCTTCACAGAATTGTCTTCCAATCCATGAGCATGGGATGCTTTTCATTTCTTTCAGGAATGTTTTGTGATTTCCAGAGTTCATATCTTCACCTCCTTGGCTAAATTTATTCCTAAGGATTTTTTGGTTTTTAATGCTATTATAAATGGATTTATTTTCTTAATTTCCTTTTTAGATTGTTCACTGCTAATATATAGAAAGGCAGCTGATTTTTGAGCGTTGATTTTGTACCTTGCAACCTTGCTGAGTACACATGGTGACCTAAATTTAAAATGATTAAAATGGAAAAAAATTTTTTTTGAGAGACAGGGTCTCCCTGTTTTCCAGGCTAGAGTGCAGTGTCACAATCTCAGCTCACTGCAGCCTCTGCCTCCTGAGCTCAAGCAATCCTCCCACCTCAGCCTCCTGAGTAGCTGGGGCTACAGGTGCACACTATCATGCCCAGTTAATTTTTAAATTTTTTACAGAAACGGGTTTTTCCATGTTGGCCAAACTGGTCTCCAACTCCTAGGCTCAAGCTGTCTACCTGCCTCAGCCTCCTAAAGTGTTGGGATTATAGGCAGAGCAACCACACCCAGCCCTCTTCTTATTCTTGCTCTGCTTCCTTCTTGGGCATTGGCATCTATTTCCAAGGCTGCTTGCTTTCAAGATGTATCCTGGAGTCCTCCCTCTCCTCTCCACCTCTGTTGCCACGACCCTAGTCCAGGCCGCAGTCACCTCTGCCTGCACCATCTGGCCAGCCAGTCTCTGCTTTCACTCTCGCCTCACCCTCTAACAATCTTCCCGCAGCAGTCAAGACTGTTATTTTTAAATAATTAAAATATTATATCACTCCCATACTTAGAATCCTCAATAACTTCTCATTGTCCTCCAAATAAAATTAAAATTCCATAACATGGCCTCCAAGGTGTGATCTGATTCCTCCATCCACCTCCCAACACATACCATCCTGATTATTATTTATTTGTTTGCATTTTCTAGAACTTGCTGTGTAATACATGGACTCCATTTGCAGAGAGCTTTGGTTTTTTCAGTCCGTTTTGTTGTTGCCTGTGTCAGTGAGGTACTCCTTTCTATTGCTGAATGGTACCGCATTGAATAGGTGCATCATAGTTTGTTTATGAATTCGCTGTCAGTGGACGTTGGGTTGCTTCCTGGTTGTGGCTATTCAAAGTAAAGCTGCTGTGAATGTTCATGGACAAGTGTTTCTTTCTGAAGGATATTTTCCTTTGGTATATAATTCTAGAGTGGTAGTATTTCAGCACTTCATATCTTCGAGGATTTGATTCTGTTGTCTTCTGGTTTCTACCATTTCTGTTGAAAAGTCAGCTGTTAGAACATCCTGGTCAACACGGTGAAACCCCGTCTCTACTAAAAATACAAAAAATTAGCTGGGCATGGTGGCACGTGCCTGTATTCCCAGCTACTTAGGAGGCTGAGGCAGGAGAATTGCCTGAACCCAGGAGGCGGAGGTTGCGGTGAGCCGAGATCGCGCCATTGCACTCAAGCCTGGGTAGCAAGAGCGAAACTCTGTCTCAAAAAAAAAAAAAGAAAAATCAGCTGTTGCCAGGTGTGGTGGCTCATGCCTACAAATCCCGGCACTTTGGGAGGCCAAAGTGGGTGGATCACTTGAGGTCAGGAGTTTGAGACCAGCCTGGTCAACATGGTGAAACCCTGTCTCTACTGAAGATATAAAAAATTAGCCAGGTGTGGTGGCACGCACTTGTAATCCCAGCTACTCGGAAGGCTAAGGCAGGAGAATCGCTTGAACCCGGGAGATGGAGGTTGCAGTGAGCTGAGATCACGCCATTGTACTCCAGCCTGGACGACAGGGTGAGACTCCCTTTAAAAAACAAAAGTCAGCTGTCAATCCCTATTTTGAATGTTGTGTATCTCTCTCCTTGGCCCCTAGCTACTCTTACAGCTTTTTCCTTGGTTTTCAGCAGTGACTTTTCTTCTTGTTTGAGATAGGGCCTCACTCTATCACCTAGGCTGAAGTGCAGCGGCACAGTCTCAGCTCATTGCAGCTTCAACCTCTTCGGCTTGTTATTGCTGAACAGCACTGCATTGAATAGGTACATCATGTTCAGTGATGACGTACCTATTGTGATTTGAAATAATCACATATTATCACAAATATAATGAAAGCGATTTTCCTGCCTCAGCTTCCCAGATAGCACCACCACACTGGGCTTTTTTTTTTTTTTTTTAGAGATGGGGTCTTGCTGTGTTGCCCAGGCTGGTCTCAAACTCCTGGGCTCAAGTGATCTTCCCACCTCCTTCTCCCAAGGTGCTGGGATTATAGGCATGAGCCACTGCTGCACGAGCCTCAGCAGTTTTTCAATAATGTGTCTGTGTGTATATGAGTGTGTTGTTAATTTTTAAAAAGCGTATCCTTCAGGATTTCTTGAACCTGGGATGTTATATCTCTTCTCAGTTTTGGAAAATTCTCAGTGATTATCTCTTTACACATTTCTTCTGCCACATTCTTTCTTTATTCTCCTTCTGGGGCTCCAATTACTCATAAGTTAGACCTTTTTTGGTCTGGTCCCACTGGTCTTTTCTTTTCTTTGCTGTATTTTCTGTCCTTTCATCTGGTTCTGCTTCAGTCTGGAAGCAGAAACGATGTAATTTGTCTACTATAACATGTCTTCCTTTCCTACTGACTAGTTCTTTCTTTGGCTGTGTCTAAATTTTTGTTAAACAGTCTACTGAGCATTTTAAGTCATTTTTTCAGGTCTAGAATCCCCATGCGATTCCTTTTGTAAGTAGTTATCTGCTGTGAGTCTCCGTCTTGTCCTCTACTCTCCTGCATGTTCATCTAGTGATTGTCACGTCTGTGTCCAATAACCCCAATACTTGGATTCCTGCAGGCTTCTTTCTGCCAATTGCTTTTTCCCCTTGGTTTTCAGTCATTTGGATTGTCTTTTTTTTTTTTTTTTTTTTTTGAGATGAGGTTCGCTCTGTTGCCCCAGCTGGTCTTCAACTTCTGGCCTCAAGCGATCTTCCTGCCCCAGCCTTGCAAAGTGCTGGGATTCCAGGCATGCACCGCAGCACCTGGCCTGGATGAATCTCTTTAATATGCCTGGCTGTTTTTTACTAAATGCCTGATGTTGTGTTTTTTAAAGTGTAGAAATAAATTTGAGGCTCGAGATGACTTCCTCCAAAGAAGACTTACTTGTGCTTCTTAAAGGCACCTGGCAGAGTGGTCAGCTTAATCTAATCCGAGGTGGTTTGAGGCTGGTTTTCAGGCTCCCGGAAGTCTGCCTCATGCACTTGCTTTTGCCAGTTCCTTGCCCTACCCAGGCTTTTGTGCTGTTCTGGTATTAATTCTCAAACCCTGGCATTGGTAGTTTACACTCCTGTGGTATGTAGCATTCATAAAATGTTCAGAAAATGATAGGTAAGGATTAGATGTGGAGACGGGGTGGAAATGGCAGAAATGGAACTTCAAAAGCTTTTCTCCAGCTGGTCCCTCGATGGCGCCCCCTGTAGCCTTTCCCCGCAGACTGTAGCCACCCACCTCCCTTGCACATTTCAAACACATGCCCCATGGCTCCCCAGGAAGAGCTTGCATTGTTGTTCTTGCTATGATTGTTCGGTTTCTGTATTTAAAGTTTCCCTCACTTCCATGGTTTCTGCAGGGTTGAGTTTTGGGAAGGGAGCCAGCAGCCCATGTTATTCACCATCTTGGCAGGAAATAGAATCCCCTTTCAATATCTTGCATTCATTCCAAGACACCGTGTGGCCCTGTCAAGTTTAGAAATGCATATGCGGCACTGTTTATCTCAAAGGACACAGAATAAAGGTTATTGGTGAATCTGGGTTTACTTTTGCTTGTTCTAGTTTATTTTATTGTTATCATTATTTTAAATTGACCACTGTCAGAAAAGCTTGTTACTTCCAGGTGCAGCGGCCCACACCTGTAATACCAGCGCTATGGGAGGCTGAGGCGGGTGGATCAGTCGAGGTCGGGTTCGAGACCAGCTTGGCCAACATGATGAAACCCCGTCTCTACTAAAAATACAAAACTTAGCCAGGTGTGGTGGCACACGTCTGTAGTCCCAGCTACTCAGGAGGCTGAGGCAAGAGAATTGCTTGAACCCAGGAGGCAGAGGCTGCAGTGAGCTGAGATTGCACCACAGCACTCCAGCCTAGGTGACAGAATGAGACTCTGTCTCAAAAACAAAGGAAATAAAAGCTTGTTCCAATTTATAGATGATGAATTGTAATAGATAAGACTGGAAAAGAAACACATTTGACACTATTTTAATCACCAATATTTAAATGCTATTCCTATTTTTTATCAAATGCTGTATCTTTCGTTTTATATTCCTACTCATTTGTTTAAATTAAAATTATTTAATTTTAATATTCAGCTTAACCAGAAACAGAAAATTTATCATTAATATATTTCCATACTCTACATTTCAGAACTACCTTACTTTTAACCCAACAAACAATAAAGAATTGGTGAGCAACAGTAAAACACAGGCAATATATTATGCATGGGTAAGTAGAAATATTTTGATTTGTTTTAAATGTGGGTACAAGTATGTATCCATTCTTCAAGTACAAATGTTTCAGTAATGTAACAAGATGGTATCTCTACTTAGTAAGCAATGAATATATATTAAAATGTTTTTTATTTAATTATAGTATTGATTTAATCCCATTGGAAATTAGCATATTAAATCAGAAGCAAATAATTTTATTTATTTCATTTTATTAAAGAAATTAGGCAAATGTTTATTTGAATTTATTGAACAAGACTGAAATATAAGTTTTGTGGTTTTTTTTGAAATGAGGTCCTGCTGTGTTACCCAGGCTGGTCTTGAATTCCTGGGCTCAAGTGATCCTCCCACTTCATCTTGTAAGTAGCTGGGATTACAGGGGAGAGCCACCACACCCAGCTCTAAAATATAGGGGTGGGTTTTTTTTGAAACCTAGGACTTTATTCCTTTTAGAAAGGTATTAGCAAACAGATTAGTGATACGTATATAGACACAGGGGCACAATCATGAGAATAAAAACACTGAGGCTGGGCACAGTGGCTCATGACTATAATCCCAGCACCATGGGAGACCAGGGCAAGAGGATCACTTGAGGCCAGGAGTTCAAGACTGACCTTCCCAACATAATAAGACCTCATCTCTACAAAACACTAAAAAGAAAAAAATTAACAGGGCATGGTGATGCATGCCTACAGTCCCAGCTGCTCAGGGGGCTGAGGCTGGAGGACTGCTTGAGCCCAGGAGTTTGAGGCTGTAGTGAGCCGTGATGGTGCCACTGCACTCCAGCCTGGGCAACAGAGTGAGACTCTGTCTCAACAAAACAAGACACAACAAAACAAAGAACGTTCCAAGTTAAACATGGAATAGCTCTGTGACTCAGCAATTCCAGGGTAAGATGTGAAAGAATTGAAAAGAAGCATTCAAACAAGTACTTCTACACAAATGTTCACAGCATCAGCAGCCACAGCACTGTTTGTAATAACGAAAAGGTAGAAACAAACCAAATGTTCATCATCTGATGATTAGTTAACAAAATGTGGTCTGTCCGGACGATGGAATGTTACTGTATGAAGTACTGATACATGCTGTGACAGGGACTAGCCGTGAAAGCATGATGCTCAGTGAAAGATGCCAGACCTGAAAGTCACATGTTGTATGATGCCATTCCTATGGGATATCCAGCATAGGCAAGTCCACAGATACAGAGTAAACTGGCGGTTTTCAAAGCCTGGGGAGAGACCAAGTGGCTGCTTAATGGGTATGAGATTTCCTTTTGGGGTTATAAAAATATCTTGGATAGGCCGGGCGCGGTGGCTCATGCCTGTAATCCCAGCACTTTGGGAGGCCGAGGTGGGTGGATCACAAGGTCAAGAGATCGAGACCATCCTGGCCATCATGGTAGAACCCCGTCACTATTAAAAATAAAAAAATGAGCTGGGCATGGTGGTGTGAGCCTGTAGACCCAGCTACTCGGGAGGCTGAGGCCAGAGAATGGTTTGAACCTGGGAGGCAGAGGTTGCAGTGAGCTGAGATCATGCCACTGCACTCTGGCCAGGCAACAGAGTGAGACTCTATCTTAAAAAAAAGAAAATGTCTTGGATCTAGATGGTTACTCAGCATTGTGAAAGTATGAAACACCACTGAATTGTACACTTTAACATGGTTACAATTGATTTTATGTTAAGTCAGTTTTACCTAAAGGAAAAATTGTAGAGCAAAACTAAAACACATTGAATCACTGATTGTCAGTGATAGTTATTATTTAAGATATTTATTATAGCTTTATTTTATTTTATTTTTGAGATGGAGCCTCACTCTGTCACCCAAGCTGCAGTGCAGTGGCATGTCTCAGTTAACTGCAACCTCCACCTCCATAGTTGAAACAATTCTCCTGCCTCAGCCTCCCGAGTAGCTGGGATTACTGGCACCTGCCATCATGCCTGGCTAATTTTTGTATTTTTAGTAGAGATGAGGTTTCTCCATATTGGCCACACTGCTCTCAAACTCCTGACCTCAAGTTATCTACCTGCCTTGTCCTCCCAAAGTGCTGGGATTACAGGTGTGAGCCAATGCCCCTGGCCAATTGTGACTTTACATAGTACTTAATGCAAATTCAAATTCTCTATTAATAAGGCTTTAAAGCTTTAACAAATACCTTAAGGCCAGATGTGGTGACTCCTGCATGTAATCCCAACCATTTGGGAGGGCAAGGGGGATGAATCACCTGAGATCAGGAGTTCAAGACCAGCCTGGCCAACATGAAAACACCCCCATTGCTACTGAAAAAAAAAAAAATTAGCCAGGTATGGTGGTGTATGCCTGTAATCCTAGCTATGAGGGAGGCTGACGAAGGAGAATTACTTGAACCTGGGAGGCAGAGGTTGCAGTGAGCTGAGATCACACCACTGCACTCTAGGCTGGGCGACAGATATGTTTCTGTTTAAAGACACCTTGTTTAATATATAACTCCATCTACAAAAAAGTAATCATTTGTGGTGTTTTTCATACTTTTTATATGTTTGCTTTTCTTTCAGAATGTTTTTAGATATTTTCCAAGGCAGCAAGTTCTCTTGCCCATAGCAATTGCAAATTTCTGACCTTGCTGAGGTGTATTTGATTTGCTTTTGTTATAGTTCTTCCTTTGGAAACGGTCTTTTTGACTAGTGATTATTTTTTTGTCTTACCAGTATGAAGAGAGAGATACACTGGCTCACAGTGCCCCACTTTTAACAGAAAAAGTGAGTATGCCTATTGGATTTTCATCCATCAGATTTTGTGGAGGATAAATGTTTATGTGTGAGCTTAGCTGCTTTGGGCTCTTCTTTGTACATCTCGATATGAAGCTGTTGGGAAATAATTTGAACATTTTTCCTTAGGTCTTGTATTCATGTTGAATTGTCAGCTGAAAATGATGGGAGTATTGTTAAAAATAAACTGTCATGAAAAGAGGTACTGCCATGAGAACATCTAAAACAGTGGTGGCTTTTATACTGTGTTTGTGCATATTGTCAAAGAATGAAAGTTGTCGGGGTGCAGTGGCTCTCACCTGTAATCCCAGCACTTCGGGAGACTGAGGTGGGAGGACCACTGGAACTCCGGGGTTTGAGACCAGCCTGGGCAACACAGGCTAGACTTTGTTTCTACTATAACAAAAAAAATTGCCAGGCAAGATGATTTGAGGCTGTAGTCTCAGCAACTCGGGAGTTTGAGGTGGGAGGATCACTTGAGCCCACGTGGTCAAGGCTGCAGTGAGCTATGTTTGTGCCACTGCATTCCAGCCCAGGCAACAGAGCAGGGGGAAAAAAAAAGAATGAAACAGTATAAGTAGAGTGGTTGAACGTGAGTGGAGCCCTTATAAAGCCGCTCAGTTTCAGAATAACAAATGCCATTAGGTATTTAGATGTTTAAGAGCCAATAGGAAGGAGGTGAAGCAGATGCCGAGGAAATGTTTCATCTTGCCTGCTTTCTGCAAGCTCTGTGTCTGAGGTGGAACTTGAATCGTCTCGTGTAGCACTTGCTGCATTTGCTGCCCATGTAACCTGTGCTCAGGGAGCAGCTGATGATGAGTTTTCTGCATAGTTGCTTCTCTCTCGGTATGACTTGTAGAAATTTCTTTTTTTTTCTTTTAAAGACGGAGTTTTACCATGTTGGTCAGGCTTGTCTTGAACTCCCGACCTCAGGTGATCCGCCCGCCTTGGCCTCCAAAGTGCTTGGATTACAGGTGTGAGCCACCATGCCCAGCAGAAATTTATTTCTTAAGGGGGCAGGCCAAAAGATACAAACAAAAAATAAAAAGTTGAGATGGATGGGCACAAGGAGATGATTCAGTCTGCAAACTTGTTTTTCATAAATGAAAGTACTAAAAAATACAGTCAATTCTCATTATCGTTGATAGTTATGTTCTATAAAGTCTCTGCAAACACCGAATTAGCAGATCCTGAACTATTGCTCTTAAGGGAAATATCGGAGTAAGTTTCTATGAGCCTCTGGTCACATTTTCACCAGCTGATCAATACATAACCTTGTTTTATGTGTATTTCTGTTGAAAGACACTACTTTATTTAATATATAACATTGATTCATTAACATTGTGCTCATGGCCAACAGCACTATAACTTGTGACTTGAACTAAACTCATCCAACCCGCATATTTTCTCCATAAGGCACATCACAGCATTCTTTTGCTTAGGAACACTAGACAGCACTTCAGCACTATGTTTGGGGGTCAATTGAAATACTGAAATCACCAAGAAAAAGCACCCAAAATGCAGACAGCATGGCATTAAATAGACCATGAAAAGGATACTTGTGGCCAGGCGCAGTGGCTTATGACTGTAATCTCAGCATTTTGGGAGGCCGAGGAGGGCGGATCACCTGTCAGGAGTTCCAGACCAGCCTGGTCAACATGGTGAAACCCCGTCTCTACTAAAAATACAAAACTTAGCTGGGCATGGTGGCAGATACCTATAGTCCCAGCTACTCAGGGGGGCAGAGGCATGAGAATCACTTGAACACAGAAGGCGGAGGTTGCAGTGAGCTGAGATCCCACCAGTGGACTCCAGCCTGGGTGAAAGAGTAAGACTGTCGCAAAAAAAAAAAAAGAAAGAAAGAAAAGGACACTTGTTTATAGTCAGAGCTGAGATAAGAAGGCAGAGCATTGCCCTGTTTGACCTCAGATGGAAATGTGCATGTTGGGTGAGTAAAATTATTTGTCACACTGCACATGCACTTCTGCAGATGACTGAGAGAGAGCTGCAAGTATTGATTTTGGGATTACAAATCAATTCTTACAAGTAGTTAAATTCGCAAATACAGAATCTACAAATCATGAGCCATTTGAAATGATAAAAATGCATTGTGTTGAAACAGTGCTGCTCTTAGAAAGAACTTGGTGCTCTTGCTTGACCAATTATTATTTTACTATTCCTCTGTGTTCAAGTCAGAAGAGGCAAACCTTAGGATCTTCTCTGTGTTATTGGAGAATGGGGCAGCATAGAGAATAGGGTGTTTCTGTGTACAGTGCTTAAATATTTTCTACGGATGGGAAAATACCTTATGATCAAGGGAGACTGGGAGAATTATTTTATGCTATTTTATAACCAGAGCATGCTTTGGCTCACAGCAGGCATCAGTTTATTTACCAGTCTCTGAAACCGCCATAAGAGAAGTTTAACAGGTATAAACTTCGATTAACCACGCTCTCATTTGCTTTAAACAAACAATGTAATTGAACAGAGTATATAGCCCTTCACTTGCTCTTAGCAAAGCTTCAGAGGTTCAGAAATGCCTCGACCATGGCAATTCATGGGAAAGGGTTTTTAGTGATTGTTTTCTTTCTTTCTCTCTTTTTCTCACTGTATTTCAGCATAACATTATAAAATATCATGTTGATAAATCCTTTGTTTTATATTTATTACCAACAATAACTATAACCTTTCTTTTGAAACATAGACCTTCAACAAGCTTGTGGGAAAGTTTAGCCAGTCCATCTTCCACTTGAATTTAACACAAATGCTGTCAGCCACGATGGAAGGGAAGCTGGTTGTCTGGAACATACACCGCCCACCGTCATCTGCCTCCACGTTTTTGGGCTTTCCCTATATCAAGCCTTGTAAATTGGTTCATTTGCAGAAAGAGAGTATCACTGTGCTTACTACAATTGATAGGTAATTTTATTAAAAGGTAGCTATGGATGGTTATACAAATATTTTTAAATTGTTTTGGGAGGCTGGGCACAGTGGCTTATACCTCTAATTTCAGTTCCTTGGGAGGCTGAGGTGGGAGGATCATATGAGTCCAGAATTTTGAGACCAGCCTCGGCAGCATAGTGAGACTCCCCATCTCTACCAAAAAACAAAAAAGAGAGAGATGCTAGGGTGGCTTGAGCCCAGGAGTTTGAGGCTGCAATGAGCTGTGATTGCCACTGCACTCTAGATGCAGGAAGGAGTGAGACCTTCCTGTCTTAAAAAAAAAAAAAAAACTCTTTTGGATGTATATACACATTTTGTATATGCATAGAGTATTCTGGGGATAGTCATAATGAACTGGGAACATTGGTTGCCTCTGAGGATAAGAACTGAGAACTAAGATCAGCAATGGGGGTGGATTTACTTTTTTTATAGTTCCATTTATACTAATTGGATTTTTTAAAAAAATCATGAGCATGCATTATGTTAAAAAAAATCCCTTTGTGTTGGTGAAACAAAAAGGAACTAGATTTTTTTTCTTCTGTGTTAATTGGATGGGTTTTGCACCCAACATTTTACATGCGTTAAATTTAAGAAAATAAAATAATTCGAATAGCTATATTGTATTGTCTGATTACAAAGTAACATATACAGCAGAGAGCGGTGGCTCGGGCGTCTGTAATCACAGCACTTTGGGAGGCCGAGGCAGGTGGATCATGAGGTCAAGAGATCGAGACCATCTTGGCCAACATGGTGAAACCCTGTCTCTAGTAAAAATATAAAAATTATCTGGGCATGGTGCATGCGCCTGTAGCCCCAGCTACTTGGGAGGTCGAGACCCGAGGATCATTTGAACCTGGGAAGTGGAGGTGCGGTAAGCCGAGATCATCCCACTGCACTCCAGCCTGGCTGACAGAGGGAGACTCTGTCTCAAAACAAAACAAAACAGGCTGGGCATGGTGGCTCATACCTTTAGCACTTTGGGAGGCCGAGGCAGGCAGATCACCTGAAGTTGGGAGTTCAAGACCAGCCTGACCAACAAGGTGAAACCCCATCTCTACTAAAAATACAATAATTAGCCAGGTATGGCAGTGTGCGGCCGTAGTCCCAGCTACTTGGGAAGCTAAGGCATGAGAATCGCTTGAACCTAGGAGGTGGAGGTTGCAGTGAGCTGAGATCTCACCACTGCACTGTAGTCTGGGCAACAGAGTGAGACTCGGTCTCAAAAAAGCAAAACAAAACTGAACAAAAATAACATTTACCTGTTGTGAGAAGATCAAATGCATCAGAACTTAATAAAATTCACTAACTCTGATTTTGAGTGGCCATAGGGACTCAGAGATGGTCATTTAAGGCCTCAATTAGAACAGGGTTCTCATTTCAGCTGGGTCCCTTCCTTGCTGAATGATCTTGAGCAAGGAACTTAACCTTGCTGAGCCTCTATTTCTTCATCTGTAAAATGGGCATAACAATACTTTCTCCGCTGGCACAGTGGCTCACACCTGTAATCCCAGCACTTTGGGAAGCTGAGGCGGGTCCTGAGGTCAGGAGTTTGAGACCAGCTTGACCAACACAGAGAAATCTCATCTCTACAAAAAATAAAAATAAAAAATTAGCTGGGTGTGGTGGCACATGCCTGTGCTCCCAGCTACTTGGGAGGCTGAGGCAGGAGAATCGCTTGAACCCAGGAGGCAGAGGTTGCGGTGAGCCGAGATCACACCATTGCACTCCAGCCTGGGCAACAAGAGTGAAACTCCATGTCAAAAAAAAAAAGAAAAAGAAAACACTATTTCTTTCATGAGTCAGGGATGTAAAATTCTGCACTTGCTTGGCACAGGGGAACCGTAGGGAAATGACGGCCATGATCAGTGGTGTGAGAGAAGTTCCCAAAAGTGTGGAGAAAATTGCCTGGCGACGGGGACCCTGCCCATATGGTTAGAGTCACTGGGCCACCTGCTTTCAAAAAGCCCATTTGCTTCCATTCACCTTTCTTTTGATGCAGGGGAACAGTGAGGTCTTGATATGGTTTTACAAAGAGAAATGCAAATTGTCACCCTCACTCAGTGGGGCGAGAAGATAGTAGAACTGCAGTTGGCCACACGGTCAGCCTTTGATCAGTTGGGGGTTAGGATCCAGTGAAGACCAGGCCAGGGTGCTCCAAGTTAATAAAACCCAGTCAGGACCTGGGAGTCCAAGAAGGAAAAGGTCTCTGAAAATGCTTGGTCAGTATTGCTGCTTCTGTCCAGCAGAGGGCAGTAAAAGATGTTCTAGCCAATTACTAGGCCCACCTGCTTTGCTTATTAATCAGAAACCTCATTTAATCACTCTGCGTATGTTAAGAGAAAATCCTCCTCCTCTACCCCCCACCCTATGATTAGAATTATGTGAAAGTCTTTTTTTAAAAAAAGCCCATTCGGGATGGATCCGAGGACTGGATATGAAAGCCATTTTGTCACGCAGCACTGCCTTCTGCTGTGAGGACTGGCCAGGGTTTTACGATTGAACTAACAGCAGCACCTTTGTGTAAAGTGGCCTGTGTCCCCTTGTCAGCCTGCACGATTTCAGAGGGCTGGTGGAGCGACTCTCTGCATTATCTGTAGTCATATGGGGAGGGTGCAAATCCCTTGTCCACTGCCATTGTATATGGCTGATCTTGGAGGGCAGGGAAGAACCAGCAGAGAGCATGGACTTGGCTTTAGCTATAGCTGGTTTCCCTGCATAGTCAAGCCGTGTGGCCCCGATAAAGTTCCCAGGTAGAAGTATGTCGCATGCAATATTTGGGATTTACTTACATTAAACTTTTGTTTGTTTGTTTGTTTTTGAGATGGAGTTTTGCTCTTGTCACTCAGCTTGGAGTGCCGTGGTGCAATCTCAGCTCACTGCAACCTCTGCCTCCTGGGTTCAAGTGATTCTCCTGCCTCAGCCTTCCAAGTAGCTGGGATTACAGGGGTTTGTGCTACCATGCCTGGCTAATTTTTGTATTTTTAGTAGAGACAGGAGTTTCACCATGTTGGCTAGCCTGGTCTTGAATTCCTGACCTCAGGTGATCTGCCTGCCTCATCCTCCCAAAGTGCTGGGATTACAGACATGAGCCACTATGCCCAGCTACACTACATTTTTCACACAAATATTCAAATGTAACTGGGTATCTGTATTGTCATTTGCTACATCTGGCCACACAATGCCCTGAGCACATCTCTTAACTCTCTGAGCGTTAGTTTCCTAGATGTAAATTGGGATAACAGTAAAATCATTCTTGTTGGGCAGTATTCAAGTGAGCTTTTGCAATGCCCCAGAATCCAGAGCCTGACATATAATGAGGAATTATCTCAGTATTGAAGAATTTGGTTAAGACCAATTTAAAAAAAAGCTATTATAGAGATGCTACACGTTATTATCGCTGTTTGCCAAACTGATGTTATTCTCCATTTCAGCTACATTGTCACAGGTGACATTAAGGGTAACATCAAGTTCTATGATCACACCCTGACCATTGTTAACTGGTACAGTCACTTGCAACCGAGTGCCGTAAGAACTCTGTCCTTTTCAAAGACCCCAGCAACTCCTCCTACTGAAAAATCAAACTATCCTCCCGACTGCACTTTAAAAGGTGACCCTTTTGTCGTCAGGTAAGTCGTTAATGAATCTAGTCATTAGGATGGTTGACAGATGATGGATGTCTTCTTTAGTTTGCATGCAGTGGGAGGTTCGTGTTGTTCCTGGAATCTCTCCCTGGCTGATTGTGATAACTGCTGGATCATTAAAAAAATTCACGAAACATGATTTTAATATTAAGACTCTTTAGTAACTGGAAGCTGGGAAGTCCTGATCCCTGAGCTCTCACCTCTGTTGAGTCTTTCGCTGCAGGTTGGTCTGTTTTCTTTAAGCTGAGCTTGTCCTAGCCACTGCGGTTAAAGGCACTGGATAATTAATTGCCATAACATTTCAAGACCGAATTATCTGTGAGTCTGCTTAATTACCCTTGCAGTATTTACAGGCACATCTGTATGTGTGCACCAAACTTCATATTTGCATACACAAATGAATATTTGCATGTGCAGATTAGCTAATTGTACAACTGACTGTCCATCTGCATACTTAATGACTCAATTTACATGGAGAAAAGTGGGCTTTTTCACTTGCAAATAGAAGCTGTTGGGTATTGGTGGTATATTTTTGGAAATGTTGGGTTAATAATGTCACTAAATTACAGACGACAGAGGCGTTTTATGTGCAATTAGAAGCAGAATAGCTGGCATGCCCCATTCCCTGCAAACACTGATATTGTTTGGTCTCTCCTGGCAAACAGGAATTTCATCATTGGAACATCTGATGCCACCGTGTACCACTTAACAACAGATGGGACCAAACTTGAGAAGTTATTTGTAGAGCCCAAGGATGCCATTTGTGCCATCTCCTGCCACCCATATCAACCCCTCATTGCCATCGGGAGCATCTGTGGGATGATCAAAGTGTGGAATTATGAAAAGAAACGATACCTTTTCAGCAGGGTCTTTGAGAAGGGGCTTGGAGTCCAGAGTCTGACCTATAACCCAGAAGGTATTTTCATCTTATCAGCCTCCCATCAATTCCACATGGAGCACAGCCCGGGAGGGGACGGATGTACCTGAGCTGGCATGGCTCCAGGAAGCCCCGACTCCAGCCCCCAGAGACACCTTTTGTCTCCGGCTCCCGCAGTGTTCTGGGCCTGGTGCCCTCCACGTGCTCACCCCAGGAGCTCGTGCGTTTCAGTTCATTTCTCCTCTGTTGTTTGTTCATGTCTTCTCCACACCCAGGACAAAGCCTGGCACAGACTCAACATCTCCTGAATGAATGAAATCCTTTGCCATCGTTGTTCTCTGGCTTGTCATTTCAGGAACCCTTCTTGGAGCTGGCTTCACAGAGGGAACGGTTTGCATTCTTGATACAATGTCTTTAGAAAATGAAAGCCCAGAGCCTTTCAGATACTCCAGAACCAGTGTGACTCACATCAGCTTTTCCCATGACTCCCAGTACATGGCAACTGCTGTAAGCGTTTTCACCGACAACCCAACCAGTGGCTTAGCACTTTCATTTAAAACCACAAGAGGCTGGACACAGTGGCTCATACCTGTAGTCCCAGTGCTTTGGGAGGCCGAGGTGGGAGGATCATCACTGGAGGACAGAGTTCAAGACGCCTAGGAAACATAGCAGGACCCCATTGCCATAAAAACATTTTTTTAAAATTACCAGGCCTTGCGGCACACATCTGTAGCCCAGCTACCCAGGAGGGGCTGAGGTGGGAGGACCCCTGGGTGCCAGGAGTTTGAGCTCCCAGTGAGCGACAGGGCAGTTCTGCTGGTCTGCCTTTGCTAAAACCCTGTCCCTTCCAGCACTCTCCCATCTCCATGGTGCTGCGGCCACTCCTCTCTGCGAGCGCAAAGCTTCTGGAGCCAAAGCATCTCAGCACACAGCTCAGGCCTGTGACTCCTCAGGCGGGGCTCTCCCACTCTGACTGGGTTTATTCTCAGCCTTCATACCTTTAAAAAAACAAACAGCTTTTTTTCTTTTTTGGAGACAGAGTTTCACTCTTGTTGCTCAGGCTGGAGTGCAATGTCACAATCTCGGCTCACCATAACCTCTGCATAAACCCCTCCTGGGTTTAAGCAATTCTCCTGCCTCAGCCTCCAGAGTAGCTGGGATTACAGGTGTGCACCACCACACCCAGCTAATTTTGTATTTTTAGTAGAGACGGGGTTTCTCCATGTTTGTCAGGCTGGTCTTGAACTCCCGACCTCAGGCGATCTGCCACCTTGGCCTTCCTCACACACCTGTGTGCTGGGATTACAGGTGTGAACCACCACACCAGGCCAAAAAAAAAAAAAAAAACATAGCTTTTTTATTGTGTGTAGCTGGGCAAAGAAAAGGGAGGACAAAGGCACAAAGAGGCGGGCTTTTGCCGTTCCGCAGGCATCGAGGGGGGACCTGGAAAGGAGTGGAAGTCCATAGTGTCAGGTTCAGCCTTTCTTCCCCACTGCCTTTCCAGTTTTCTATTTTTAACCTGAATTTTCTCATCTATAAAACGGGCATTAGGCTGGGCATGGTAGCTCGTACCTGTAATCCCAGCACTTTGGGAGGTCAAGGCAGGCAGATTGCTTGAGGTCAGGAGTTCAAGACCAGCCTGGGCAACATGATGAGACCCATGTCTCTACAAAAATAATGAAAAAAAAAAAAAAAACCTAGCCAGGTATGGTGGCGTGTACCTGTAGTCCTAGCTACTTAGGAGGCTGAGGCTAGAGGCCCTTTTGAGCCCAGGGGGTCGAGACTGCAGTGAGCTGTGGTCAGGCCACTGCACTCCAGCCTGGGCAACAGATCAAGACTCTAATCTCTAAAAAACAAGAACAAAACTAAAAGTAAAATGGGTATTGTTTTACTGATTGCTCCAGTAGATTCAGATTTTTTTTTGAAGAAAATATTCTTAGTGTTTGTTTTTTTTTAATAGAATCTCACTCTGTCACCCAGGCTGGAGCGTAGTGGCGAGATCTCAGCTCACTGCAACCTCCATCTCCCGGGTTCAAGTGATTCTCCAGCCTCAGCCTCCCGAGTAGCTGGGACTAACAGGCGTGCACCACTGCCTCAAGCTAATTTTTTGTATTTTTAGTAAAAACAGGGTTTCACCATGTTGGCCAAGCTGGTCTCAAACTCCTGACCTCAGGTGATCCACCCACTTTGGCCTCCCAAAGTGCTGGGATTACAGGCGTGAGCCACTGTGCCCGGCCAGTATTTTGTTTTGTTTTGTTTTTTGGGTAGGTCTTGCTCTGCTGTCCAGGCTGAAGTGCAGTAGTGCAATCTCAGTTCACTGCCACCTCCTTCTCCCAGGTTCAAACAATTCTTGTCTCAGCCTCCCAAGTAGCTGGAATTACAAGCATGTGCTACCATGCCTAGCTAATTTTTGTATTTTTAGTAGAGATGGGGTCTGCATATTGGCCAGGCTGGTCTCAGACTCCTGATCTCAGGTGATTTACCCACCTCGGCTTCCCAATGTGCTGGGATTACTGGCTTGAGCCACTGCGCCCAGTCAGAAGATACTCTTAAAACAAAATTAGTGTAAACGCATAATGATGATTTTTAATTTCCTGAATGTAAAAAGGGATAACTCCTTCTTTTTTGCTCTTCTTCAGGATATAAGTTTTACTGTGGCAGTTTATATGATGGTGGTGAGAAACGGACGAAGGGTCTGGGAGTACTTAGCAAGACTTCGCTCTCATCGAAAAAGCATCCGAAGTCTCCAGTTTGGGGTTTACCTGGACAGCAATGAGCCTAGACTGCTGAGCCTTGGGACAGATAGGCTGCTGGTGAGCTGTTTAGTTTCCTGGTCCCCAGGACTGTGTCTCACTCTTGTGACATCCCTGGCATCTTGCATAGAGCCAGGCCCACAGTATGTGTGTTTGTGGGAGAAGGTGAGTGTACAGTGAAGGGTCGCAGACCTCTCTAGGTTGCCATTTTACCATAACTTGGCTGGGACGCCACCCACCCGGGAACTCCTGTTCTGAATGCGGAGGCTTCCGGGAAGCCACAGGTCAGAAGTGGAGGAGCGGGGAGTTCGCCTCGCAGTGTGCACCGGGAGGGCTGATACTCGCTAACACTATCTTCATGCCCAGCAGTTGGGGCCAGGCTGCTACCTAAACGTGAAAACTAGGAGAGGCTGTGAGAAAAGAGGAAAAGGTAGGGACAGTGGCAAACACAATATGACAGAGTCAGGCCAAATGGATTCAAAATCAACTGGTCAGTGTATCTGTCTATTTTTCCTTTTTCCCTCCCTCCCTCCCTCTCCTCCCTCACTTCTTCCCTCCCTCCCTTTCTCTCTTCCTCCCTCCTTCCCTCCTTCCTTCCCTTCCCTCCTTCCCTCCTTTCCTCCTTCCCTCCTTCCTTCTTTCCTCCTTCCCTCCTTCCTTCTTTCCTTCCCTTCCCTCCTTCCCTCCTTCCTTCCCTTTCCTCCCTTCCCTCCTCCCTTCCTGCCTCGCTTCCTCCCTCCCTCCCTTCCATCCCTCCTTCCCTCCTCCTTCCTTCCCTTCTTCCTTCCTTTGCTTTCTTCTTCCCTCCCTCCCTTCCTCCTTTCCTTCCCTCCCTTCCTCCTTTCCTTCCCTCCCTCCCCTCATTCCCTCCTTCCCTCCTTCATTCCTTCTTTCCTTCCTTCCTTTGCTTTCTTCCTCCCTTCCTTCCTTTGCTTTCTTCTTCCCTCCCTCCCACCCCTCCCTTCTTTCTCTCGCCTTCCTTCCTTTATTCCATTTATTCTTCCATCTATCCATCTATCCATCCATCCATCCATCCATCCATCCATCCATTCATCCATTCATCTATTCTGTTCCGCCCACCAAAACATACATGTATGGGCTCAGTTCAGCAGCTGCTGATTTGTGACTGCCAAGCACTGGGCTAAGATTTAGGTATGAATTAGTTCCTAAGACAATGATAAGTGACACAGTATAACTGAACTGCCAGACGTCAGGTGTGGGAGTCAGCTGGACCTAACTTTGAATTTTTGAGTTTTTACTCTGTCACTTTTTAGCTATGTGACCTTGGACAAGCCGCTCTGAGCATCTCTGAATATCTGTTTCCTTATCTGTAAAATGGGAACGACAGCACTTCTTTGCAAGGAAGTTCTGAGGATGGTGTGGAGATGTTTCTAGAGCACTCAGCTCTCCCGCATCGTGAATGCTCAGTACTGATGACTTAGTTGGTGTCAGGTCTAGGCAGGTCTCCTCTTGGGAAACCTGATACCGTCTCCCTCAGAACAGCACCTTGGCTGATAATGATAAAGCCTGTCACCCAAGAGCTTGGGGCTCCTTAGCTGAGCCTTTAATTTGGCTCCGTCCTCACGTGTGTCCCTCTGGGCTCCTCTGCAGATAGAGTATGATCTTCTCAGGAGCTACAAAGACCACCTGGAAGTCCTGGACATTCACCGCACCGACCAGGGCTGCTACCCCACCTGCATGGTCTGGTACCCGCCACTCACCAGGGAACTCTTCTTGCTCATCTGCAACAGTGGCTACAAAGTGAAGCTTTTTAATGCTACCACCAAAATGTGCAGGTGAGCACTTGGAGCGCCCATGGCAGGGGGCGGACCGAGTTCTCTAACCCCAGCCTGCGGCAAGCCTCCACTTAGGGACCTGCAGGCAGCTTGGCTACTGTTTTCATCCTCTTCACTCTGCAGAGGAGGAAAGGGAAGCAGGTAAGTAAGTGATTCTCGCCAAGGTCACATGACCCATTGTGGAGGCGGGATGTGCAGACCCAGGGAGGACACAAACCTGGGGCCCTGGGAAAGTCGCTGATGCTCTAAAATCCCCTCTCATTAAGAAACACATATTTTTACCTGGCTACTAACAACCATTTGATTTTTTCTTACTCTTGGCTCTCAAAGGAGCTTTAACTTTAACTGCTAGCACTCCTTTGTCTACACCCCTACGTGAGCCAGGCACTGTTCTAGGTGCTGAAGACCAGGATGGAAACCGTTTCCATCACTGTGGAGTTTACATGTTGGTTGGAGGTGGGGATGATGCAATCGTGTGAACAAGTAGCCAGGTAGTAGGTATGTGGCAGTCAGGTCCGTGCAAAGAATGGGAAAAGGCAGGATAAAAAGGTGGGGAGGCAGGGAAGGCCTTGGAGAGCAGGGCACATCTGAGCATCTGAACAGACTGGAAGGAAGCGAGAGGGAAGTGAGGGGCCGCCCTGCTCTTGGAGGAAAGAGAGTGGACCAGCAAGGCCCAAGGACCAAAGGTGGGAGGCGTTTGGGATTTGGGAAATGCCGTGAAGGCTGGTAGGGCCAGAGTGGAGTGGGCGGGGAGGGGGCACGGGAGAGCAGGTCAGAGGCCCAGGCAGGTGCCCGGCACACGGCACCCTGGGGACTCCATCTCTTTCCCGAGTAAGGCTTGGCCCTGAGGGGCCACAGGGAGGGGGTCAGATTCTGGGTATATCCTGCTGGCAAAGCGAACAGCGTTTGCTAATGGAGGGAAAAGGAGGTGTGAGAGAAGACACTTCACGAAGCCAGAAGAATGGAATAGCCCTTTAAAGAGATGAGGAGGATGAGGGAAGGACAAACCCGGAGTCAGAGACTGGCCAAGGCAAGCTTGAGATGCCTGCTTGGCATTCAGATGGGAACCCATGAATCAGGCTCTGGAGTGTGGAGGTCCCGGGAGGGGCTGGGCTGGTGTCAGGAGCACAGGACGGCTGAAGCCATGAGCAGAGAAGACACCAGCAAGAGAGCAGGGCATCTGTAGCCCGGCATCTTAGAGCCATGTCTCCTCCTGCCTGACGCAGTCCTGCACCTGCACAGGGACCCCTGTGCTTCCATCCCTGTGAGCCCTCAGGAGAAACACACACAATCGACCCTCGAGTGCAGCGGGGGCCACACCGTCCATCCTCCTGTTCCCTCCTCCTCAGCCTGCTGAGCATTCTCCCACTGAGCTTCAGGAGGCTGTGTGACTGCCCAAGGTCAAGCAGGGCAGGACTTGACCCTGGAACCGCGCCCCGACCCTGTCCTCCACTCAGTGCTCTGGGGCCTCCACACAGTCCTGGCTGTGGGATCTTGCCTGGTCAGCCCTGGAGGGGAGCTTCTGCCTTTGGTTTGGCTGTGTCTTGGGTATGGCTGGAAAGAAGCATGGAGGCAGGGGAAGTTGGAAGGGAGAGTGTTTCAGTGACCCACCACTGCCACCACCACCACTGCCACCAGGAGAAGGAAGTCAGGGAACTGGCCGCAGCAGCTGGCCCAGGATCCAGGACAATCATTGCTTTGAAATATATCTCAGATAAGAGAGGTCCTCAAAAGGCCAGGACCACCTGGGATTTTTTTTTAAACAGTTCTTTCCCAGAAGGCCAAGAAAAAAATGACTGAGAAATGCCATGTCTTATGGTAGAAAGAGAAATCCAGGACAATTGCCTTAAACAATTAAAACACCCAAAAGCATGTATGAAGAAGAGCTTTAGAAAGACTTCAGAATCATTGTGCCTAGTTTTTATTAAGCACTATGAAATTTTATCATATCTTCTGCTAGTTTTTAATGAACACATACTTTTTGGACAGAGAATGTCTCTCAGATACATGCAGTGCTAAGACACTGAATCGGCAGGGCCAGAGAATGGGGGCTGACAGGACTTGGGCCTGAAGTTCCTGCTAACGGTTATTCACCGGAGGAAAGAGGGGGGAGAGACTTTTGGAAACAAAGTTGGGAGTTTCTGCCTATTGATGATCAATGTGAAATTAGCATAAAGCATCTTAAAATTTTTATCAAGGTGATACTCATATAACATAAAACGAATGAGTTGAAAGTGACCAGTTTGGCCGGGCATGGTGGCTCACACCTGTAATCCCAGCACTTTGGGAGGCCAAGGCAGCTGGATCACCTGAGGTCAGGAGGTTGAGACCAGCCTGATCAACATGGTGAAACTGAGTCTCTACTAAAAATACAAAAATTAGCCGGACATGGTGGTGCGTGTCTGCAATCCCAGCTACTCAGGAGGCTAAGGCAGAAGGATTGCTTCAATCTGGGGGGCGGAGGTCGCAGTGAACTAAGATTACGCCACTGTACTCCAGCCTGGGTGAAAGAGCAAGACTCTGTCTCGAAAGAAAATAGAAAAAGAAAAGAAAGTGAAGATTTCCGTGTCATTTAGCACACTCACAGTGCTGTGCAGCCCCCACCTCTGTCTAGCTTCAGAAATTTCCATCATTCCAGAGTAAAACCCCTTGCTTAAAGCATTCTCTAAGCTGTAGGAATAATAAAGCCTCATAATCATGGCTTAATTGGGAAGGAATTGTCTTTTCATGATAAATCCAAAAGAATTTAAAAATGCATTTAAAAAATATTTGAAAGAACGTGAAAAGGCAGTTCACAGAAAAAGGCCAATAAACCTAGGAGCAGATGCTCATGAGTATATCAAAGATGCAAATGAAAACAAGATATCATTTTTCTCCAATCAGATTAGCAATGATAAAAATGATTGATAGGGCTCAGCGTTGGCAAGAGGATAGGGAGATAGGCACTCTCATCCGCTGCTGGGGAGCGGGTATGAATCACTGTAACCTTTTGGGAAAGCAATTTGTCACCCTCCATTAAATTGTATCGTATCTTCTGACTTCTAGGAATGTAGCCCACAGAAGAACTCAAACAGTATGCCAAGGCATAAGTAAAAGGGTGTCTTGTTTGAAAATATTTTTAAAAATGGAAACAATCCAAATGCCCATTAATAGGGGATTAGTTAAACGGATGGCTTGTCAGTACACTGGAAAGCGATGCTGCTTTTAGAAAAGAAAAAAGAGGAAGAGTAAGACAGCTCTCTGTGTAGTGACGTGGAAATAGCTCCAATATGTGATGAGATAAACTACAGTGAAGCATGAATAGCATAATTCTATTTTTATATAAAATTATAATAAAAAATTCTTGAGTCGTATACACCAAACTATCACGATTATCTTAGGATAGGGTCTAGCAATGTGGAGATATAGTTAGATTTTCTTCTTTTTTTTTGAGGGTGGGTCTCACTCTGCTGCCTAGGATGGAGTGCAGTGGTGTGATCTCAGCTTGCTGCAACCTCCACCTCCCGGGTTCAAGCAATTCTCATGCCTCAGCATCCTGAGTAGCTGGGACTACAGGTGCACACCACCGCACCTGGCTAATTTTTTTTTTAAATAGAGGTGGGGTTTCACCGTCTTGGCCAGGCTGGTCTCAAACTCATGACCTCAGCTGATCTGCCTGGCTCAGCCTCCCAAAGTACTGGGATTACAGGCGTGAGCCATCATGCCCCATCCATGACCAAACGATCATAAAACCTACGTTGAAATTTGTGAAATTCAAAAAACTCTCTTTTTTTTTTTTTCCTTCAGGAAGACGCTTATGGGGCCAGCTTATGGTTCCCCGATTGAGCAGGCACAGGTCCTCCCGGTGAGAAGCATGGCAGAGCTGCCGAAACGCTACTTGGTGTTTATTAACAGAGACAAGGTAACAGCGCCGTCTTCTCCAGCTCTGGGAGTTGACTCTGTGTGTCAGGAGCGGCAGTCATTATCAAAGATCGTGAGACTCGAGAGAGCCTGGGTTTTACAGCCAGGCCCAACTGCTGCCGCCCCAGTCAGCTGTGATACTGAAGATTGTCCTTGATGAGTTAGGAAGCCTCTTGGGAGACATTTCTGAGCAGAGTTACTGCATTTTTTGTATTCCCAGTGAAGATACATGGGCCAGCAAAGGATTTTTCCTTCTTGTTTATTTGCATGGAAAACTCTTATAAAAACATGCAAATTGATACACTTCGTTGTATGATTTAATGAATCGTCTACATTGAAAAGTGTATAGCCTGCTGGGCGTGGTGGCTCATGCCTGTAATCCCAGCACTTTGGGAGGCCAAGGCAGGCTGGAGTCTGAGACCAGCCTGGCCAACATGGTGAAACCCCATCTCTACTAAAAATACAAAAATTCAATGGGCTTGGTGGCGGGCACCTGTAATCCCAGCTACTTGGGAGGCTGAGGCAGGAGAATCACTTGAACATGGGAGGCAGAGGTTGCGGTGAGCTGAGATCGCGCCACTGCACTCCAGCCTGGGCGACAGAGGGAGACTCTGTCTCAAAAAACCCAAGAAAGTGTAAAAGTCATAGGTTGTGAGATTTATTCCAGAAAACCTTGGACAACTGAGCATGCAGACAGGGAGGAAAGCTCCCCTTCTGTCTTCTGTGCATCTGTTAGAACTGTGCAAGGGGCTCGTGTCCTCAGGGCCGGTGTATGAATGCCCAGCTACATTAAATGGGGCTCTCACACTTGGAGATGGGTCCAGACAAAATCAACTTAACATATGCAACAGAGAGAGAAGGAAGGTGTCAAATGTAAACCCCTTTTCACTCAGCAGCAGGTCCTTCTGCCACACAGGTCTGGAGGTGACATGTGAACGTGCCAGGCCTCTCTTGGGCCCAGCTACCTGAGTCTGAATATCCACTTACGTATTCCTTTCTAGGTGGGACTGCAGATCTTACCAGTGGACGGCAATCCACATAAAACAACTGCTATTGTCTGCCACCCAAATGGGGTGGCTGGCATGGCCCTTTCCTATGACGGCCTCTACGCATTCACCGCAGGGGGGCATGATCGCTCAGTGGTCCAGTGGAAAATCAATTTAAGGTATGTGACGGGAGAGAAGGAAGGTGTCATGTGGACACTCCTTTTTACTCAGCAGCAGACAGACACTGAACCCTGCTGCGTGCCAGGCACTATGCTAGGATGTCACAGGGCCTGGCTTTCAGGTTGCTCCTGGTGGCATTGCTCATATTACTGCGCACACAGAAGTTGCTGTCCTGCTCCATGGACCGATGGCGTTTGCAGTTCAGGCGGTGTGACAGCACCTGGGACTCACCCCTGCTCCCCAAAATGCTTCTCCCTCTGCTCCGCATAGTCACACCTGCTAGAAAGATCTGGGCCGACCCTCCAAAGCATGCACTATGGAAATGGTAAGAGGGTCATTTGAAGGGGTATTTCAGGCTCTTCTTCTCACCCTCCCTGCCCTGAATGGCGAGCCTGAGCCTGCGGTCAGGCTGGAGAATTCTTGAGTTGAATGTCAGAGAGTATGTGGACTTTGAGGTTAAAGGGATGTGTATGAGCTTGAATATGGGGCCACCCTCCACTGGCTGTGGGGCCTAGGGCAAGCTTCTTTACGGCTCTGATCTCCAGGTCCTTGCCTGCGAAATGGGGGTGATGATAGGGACTGCTATTTTTTTTTTTTTTTTTTTTGAGGTGGAGTCTCGCTCTGTCACCCAGGCTGAAGTGCAGTGGTACGCTCTGAGCTTACTGCAACCTCTGCCTCCTGAGTTCAAGCAATTCTTCTGCCTTAGCCTCCTGAGTAGCTGAGATATCAGGTGTGTGGCATCATGCCCAGCTAATTTTTGTATTTTTAGTAGAGACAGCGTTTCACCATGTTGGTCAGCTGGTCTCAAACTCCTGACCTCATGATCTGCCCACCTCGGCCTCCCAAGGTGCTGGGATTACAGATGTGAGCCACCGCGCCTGGCCGATGATAGGGACTTCTGTGGGATCCCTGTGAAGATCGGGTAGTTTAATATGGGAAAAGCACATAGCATAGAGCTAAGCGCTCAAGAAGTGAGTGAATTCCTTTCTTCTCATCTTCCCGTAAGAGCATTTGTTTATGAGCTTAGGATCTTCCCTAATCAAGAGGGGACCGGCACCCACACTGTCCTCTCCTCTACCCACATTCAGCCAGCTGCCACAGGGCAGAGTCAGCCACGGGCAGCCAGTTCCTGTTCTGACCACTTCTCTGAGCCCCTTCGCTGCCTGTGTCTCGGCTGGGCCTCTCCTGGCAATGTGACGTAGGGGAGCAAAAACAGCTCGGAGGCACCTTCCTTCCTCAGAGAACAACCTGACTCTTGGCTGCCAGCGCAATGCACCCCCTGCCATCTGCCAAGTGCACATCTTTCTTTTTATGTTGGATATTGATGCTTCTACTCTTAACCTGAATATGAGCAAAAATAGCCAGTTAAATCTGCTCTGGAACCACAGCGGTTTGAGATTGCAGTTGCAGCTCTGACTTCCACCCTGCCTTCACCTGAGAGAGCAGATCTTGGGAACTTGGGGATTTAGGAGCTGGAGGTGAACTCTCCCATTGAAAAGGGATCGTGGCCTCAGAATGGCTGCCTGGTTCCTTGTCTGCTGACTTGTTACCTGGAACCATGGGGGCAAGCCATGCCCTGCAGGGGCAAGCGGAACCTTCCTTTCTATTTGTTGAGGTGGTGGTTGAGACAGGGTCTGGCTCGGTCACCCAGGCTGGAGTGCAGTGGTGTGATCATGGCTCACTGCAGCCTTGAACTCCTGGGCTCAAGCGATTCTCCTGCCTCAGCTTCCCGAGTAGCTGGAACCACAGGTACATGCCATCATGCCTGGCTAACTTTTAAAAAATTATTTTTTGTAGATACAGAGTCTCACCAAGCCTAGGCTGGTCTTGAACTCATGGGCTTAAGCCTTGGCCTCCCCACGTGTTGGGATTACAGATGTGAGCCACTGCACCCAGCTAGAACCTTTCTCCTAAAATGTTTGTCTTCTCAGTCGTCGTGGGCTCTGGAATGGTAGAAATTTAAGAAGAACTCAAAAAGGCCTCTGCTTTCCAATAGCTTTCCTGTGCCTGGCCAGAGTCCAGGTTTCTGAGAATTTCAGTTTAATCTGTGGTGGGGACAAAGGATCGTTGTAAACTAATTAGCACTTCATTGCTGCTTCTGGTGAGTTAATATGATCAGTACTTCACTAATGGAAAGAAATGTAAAAACCCTAAACAAGTAAACAAAATTTCCTACCAAGTTACTGTTGATGAGTGGTCCGGGGAGATGAAGATGACAAATCCCCTCACGTTCCATTATTTTAGTAAGTGCAGCCCTGGGCCCAGAGTGCCACCATCACAGCCCACGGCACTCCCGCCCCAGGACAGCCCTTCCATTGCCTCTCTTGGGGTTCTTGGAGTTCATTCCACATGCCCCTTCTTCTCCCCCTCGATGCTAGCATGCCACCCTTTTTCCTCTCTTTGTCTGGTGTCTGTTTCAAAATCCCCCATACTTTTTTGTGCCCAGCCTCCCTGCCTCCTGTCATCCTGCTGCCCTGCTCAGCCAAGAGCAGGGACCCAGATTGGAATCCTGGCTAGTCACTCCATGCTCACTGGATGACACCAGGCAAGTCCTTTGCTTCTCGGAGCCTCAGCTCCTCCAGCCATTAAGTGGGACTGCTACCACCAAGTTCAGACCATTCCTCCTTCTCCTCCTCTAGGGAGCATTTACTGAGCACCTACTGTGTGTTCGTCATGGGGCTCAGAGCTTTAGCTCCTTTCGAAAAGTACTGTGTGGCTTGCTGGGTACAGAGCAGGCTTTCAGTAAGTGTCATTTCCCTTTAGTGCCCTAATGACCTCTTTTTTGTTGCGAGTCTTAGAAACACAATTTAGGCAAAAAGGGGATGTATGAGAAGGTTGTTGGGATGGCATGTGGTTGCACAGCAGGATGGTCAGGGACAGCGGCACACAGTGCCCGCAGCGCTCACTGTCCACATGGCCCTGCTTTTGGCTTCACTCTCTGTGGAACTGGGTTTCCTTACTCAGCAGGAAGATGGCTGCTGGCAGTTCCCAAATTTCACAAATTCTAGCTCTCACCACAGAGAGAGGGAATCTCTTTCCCAGCATGGGTTGGAGAAAGCCAAGTGCAGCCCTGGACCCCTCTGGGGTCGGTTGGCAGTGGCCGGGAGGCAGGGATGTAGTGGAGCGCTGAACACCAGAGCCGGGAGCCTCAGCTGCTCCTGGAGGACCAAGTGCTCTTGCCAGCCTTTCCCTTCAGGGGCTCCTGGTGGTGACAGGCTCTCTATGTCACTTACAGCCTTTACCTGGCCGTGCTCCAGAGCCACATGGCTAAAAGTGGCCTGGTGCTCATGGAGCTTGTCGGGATCGGGCCTGGGCCTGGGCCTGGCCTGGAGGCCCCAGAGAGGGAGCCCTCTCAGCTGAACACTTGCCTCCGTGGCCTAATACTTGAACTGAGAAGTGGGGAAGACCCAGCCCTGCCGGAGGGGTCCTCAGGCACCCCTGGAGAATACCCAGGTCCCTCAGACTTTAAGTTAACCTGTGGACTTGTGCATGCCTCAGTGAGAGGACCAGGGACAGTGCGTGGCAGACTCTACCTGAGAGAGGTGTAGGTGCGTGCCAACACCCATTTCCACACCCATAATAATCCCAGCCACTTGTGCTGAACCTTTCTCGGGGCCGGGCCCTGCCCTGAGTTCCAGGTATCATCTGATTTCATCCTCACAGCCGTCCTGGGAGCAGGCACCACCCTCATCCCCACAGAACACGTCAAGAAGCTAACAACAAGGGTTCCATTGACTGCCCAAGCAAAAGAGGAGGCAGTGGGGCGGGATTCACAGCCAGGGCTTTCTAAGTCCACCCCACACCTTGACAAACGTTCATTACAGGAGGGAAATAAAGGACTTTGTCTCCAATCCTTGTGATATGGTTTTGCTCTCTGTCCCTACCCAAATCTCATCTTGAATTGTATTCTGGTAATTCCCGTGTGTTGTGGGAGGGATCTGGTGGGAGATGGTTGGACTGGGGGCAGGGAGCAGTGTCCCCCATGCTGTTCTTGTGGTAGTGAATAAGTCTGATGAGATCTGATGATTTGATAAGGAGAAACCCGTTTCACTTGGCTCTCATTCTCTCGCCACTGCCATATGAGACGTGCCCTTCACCTTCCACCATGATTGTGAGGCCTCCCCAGCCATGTGAAACTGTAAGTCCAATAAGCCTCTTTCTTTTGTAAATTCTCAGTCTCAGATGTGTCTTTATCAGCAGTGTGAAGAGGGATTAATATAGTAAATTGGTACCAATAGAGTGGGGCATTGCTGAAAAGATATCTGAAAATGTGAAAGTGACTTTGGAACTAGGTAACAGGCAAAGGTTGGAAGTTTGGAGGGCTCAGAAGAAGACAGGAAAATGTGGAAAAGTTTCGAACTTCCTAGAGACTTGTTGAGTGGCTTTAGCCAAAAGCCTTTTAGTGATATGGACAATAAGGTCCAGGCTGATGTAGTCTCTGATGGAGATGAGGAACTTGTTGGGAACTGGAGCAAAAGTGACTCTTGGTACGTTTTAACAAAGAGAATGGTAGCATTTTGTCCCTGCCCTAGAGATTTGTGGAAGTTTGAAGCTGAGAAAGATGAGTTAAGGTATCTGGCAGAAGAAATTTCTAAACAGCAAAGCATTCACCTTTAACCTGGGTGCTGTTAAAGGCATTCAGTTTTATAAGGAAAGCAAAGCATAAAAGTTTGGAAAATTTGCAGCCTGACCATGTGATAGAAAAGAAAAAGCCATTTTCTGAGGAGAAATTGAAGCCAGCTGCAGAAATTTGTTTATGTTATCAGGAGCCAAATGTTAATCCTGAAGACAATAGGGAAAAATGTCTCTAGGGTATGTCAGACATCTTTATGGCAGCTCCTCCCATCACAGACCTGGAGGCCTAGGAGAAAATGGTTTCATGGGCCAGGCCCAGAATCCCCATGCTGTGTGCTGCCTAGGGACTTGGTGCCCTGTACCTCAGCTGCTCCAGCCATGGCTGAAAGGGGCCAATGTAGAGCTCAGGCTGTGGCTTCAGAGGGTGCAAGCCTCAAGCCTTGGCAGCTTCTATGTGGTGTTGAGCCTGCAATTGCACGGAAATCAAGAATTGGGGTTTGGGAACCTCTGCCTAGATTTCAGAAGATGTATGGAAATGCCTGGATGTCCAGGCAGAAGTTTGCTGCAATGGTGGGGCTCTCATAGAGAACCTCTGCTAGGGCAATGTGGAAAGGAAATGTGGGGTCAGAGCCCCCACACAGGGTATCGACTGGGTTACTGCTGAGTGGGCTGTGAGAAGAGGGCCACCATCTTCCAGACTCCAAAATAGTAGGTCGTTTGACAGCTTGTACCATTTGCCTGGAAAAGCCATAGACACTCAATGCCAGCCTGTGAAAACAGCCGAGAGGAAGGTTGTGCCCTGCAAAGGCACAAGGGCAGAGCTGCCCAAAACCATGGGAACCCACCTCTTGCATCAGAGTAACCTGGATGTGAGACATGGAATCAAAGAGATCATTTTGGAGCTTTAAGATTTGACTGCCCTGATGGACTTGCATGGGGCCTGTAGCCCCTTTATTTAGGCCACTTCCTCCCATTTGGAATGGCTGTATTTACCCAATTCCTGTACTCCAATTGTATCTAGGAAGTAAATAACTTGCTTTTGATTTTATAGGCTTACAGGCAGAAGGGACTTGACTTGTCTCAGATGAGACTTTGGACTGTGGACTTTTGAGTTAATGTGAAATAAGTTAAGACTTTGGGGGACTGTTGGGAAGGCATAATTGGTTTTGAAATGTGAGGACATGAGATTTTGGAGGGGTCAGGGGCAGAATGGTATGGTTTGGCTCTGTGTCTCCACCCAAATCTCGTCTTTAATTGTACTCCCATAAATCCCATGTGTTGTGGAAGGGGACTGGTGGGAGAGGGTTGGATCGTGGGGGCTCATGCTGTTCTCCTGGTAGTGAATAAGTCTCATGAGATCTGACGGTTTGATATGGGGAAACCCGTTTCACTTGGCTCTCATTTCTCTCTCTTGCCACTGCCATGTGAGATGTGCCTTTCACCTTCTGCCATAATTGTGAGGCCTCCCCTGCCACGTGAAACTGTAGGTCCAAGAAACCTCTTTCTTTTGTAAATTGCCCAGTATCAAGTATGTCTTTATCAGCAGCATGAAAACAGACTAATGCACCTTGCATGCATTCATTTATTAATTCCTACAACAATGTTATGAGGCAGAATCTTCTCATTTTATAGTGGAAGACACTGAGGCCAGGGAGGTTAAGTTACCTGCCCAGAGTCACACAGCTTGCCAGGGGCAGAGCTAGGGACTTGCATGTATGTCCATGTGACTCCACATTCTGGACGCTTCCCCACTTCCCCACTGTGGTCTACATGAGGTGTCTTTGATGTCCCGGCAGAAGCTGATTGCCTGATTCGCAGAAATCCAGTCAGTGGATTATTAGAATGATTTCTGATGATTAGCCTTTTGCAGGAGGCAAAGTTGGTCTCTTACAAAAGTAGGTTTTCTTACCATTGAAAGGGCCTATTTTTGGAAAATCTGACCTTGCGTTAGAGAGCAGAGGGTTATTTTTATCTGACTGGCATGGGTCCCTGTGGTCTCCTGAGTTTTTATGGAAGCAATTAGTGTTGGCAGTCTGCCTGTACAATATCCCATTCTTTTGACTCTGATCGTTTGTGGAACTAAAGTTACGGGTAAGGCTGCTCTGTCTGGGAGGATTGTGGTTTCAGAACAACAGCATGCCTCCCCCACCCCAGGAGAGACGTGTTCCCCAAAGATTGCAGACAAATTACCAAGCACCTGCCCTGTCATCATTGAGAGAATATCACCATAATGAGGGCGGGTGCCCTCTACGTCCGAGTTCCACGCTTGAAATGCAACTTTCTGGTTTTGGCTTCATTTTGAAGGACCTTTTCTTAGCAAGTCTACAGAGACCCTAACTGTGTCTGCACCGTGATACCCTTCAGAGGCTGCAGTGCTGTGCGGGCCACCTTCTGACCTGTGCTCACGCTCGAGCGCTTTCTAACAGGGACATCTCTGTTATTGTTCCAGTGTCCTGGAGGCAGCGGTTTCTCTTGGGGGTGAAGACTTGACCCCATTCTACGGTCTGCTGTCTGGCGGCCGGGAAGGAAAATTCTACAGGGTAACTGTTCCCAGGGTAAACACTTCCCAGTGACACCTGGTTAAGTTTTTAAAGTGGATGTGCCCAGGGTTAACCTTGTTGCTTTATTCCAAAGCTCTATTCCCCCACTGAGCTTAAAATGTACTTTCTAGAAAATGTCCTTGAAGTCTTCATGGATGCTTCAGACTTAAGCCTAAATGCGTTTTGTGTCTCTGTTCTATTTCTACTTAGGAGCTAGAAGACTACTTCTACTACTCCCAGCTCCGCAGTCAAGGCATTGACACAATGGAGACCAGAAAGGTGTCGGAACACATCTGCCTGTCAGAGCTGCCTTTTGTCATGAGAGCAATTGGCTTTTACCCATCTGAAGAGAAGGTAGGGAGAACGAAAACAAGAGCAGCAATGGGATATGCTATTTATAAAAAATGACCTCTGGGAACAATCCTTATAGGTCAGAGTAAAAATTTCATATTTTTCTTGCATAAATGGATCCGAAAGACGGATCTGGGCATTTCAGATTCACTCCTGAGTGACTGCTTTCCTAAAAGGTGCACTCCTCATGGAAGTTCCACGCTGGTTAGAAAATGGATCTTGCAACCATGGTGTTGAATTGGATGTACTGGGGCTGCAGTCTCAGCCCTGCCCCTTGCTGGGCAAGGACCAGCCTCATAGGATTTTTTTTTCTTGAGACAAACTCTTGCTCTGTCACCCGGGTTGGACTGCAATGGTGCAATCTCGGCTCACTACAACCTCTACCTCCCAGGTTCAAGCGATTCTCCTGCCTCGGTTCCCACGCAGCTGGGATTACAAGCACCCACCACCACGCCTGGCTAATTTTTGTATTTTTAGTAGAGACGGGGTTTCACCACGTTGGTCAGGCTTGTCTTGAACTCCTGACCTCAAGTCATATGCCCACCTCAGCCTTCCAAATTGCTGGGATTGCAGGCATGAGCAATTGCACCCAGCCAGCCTCATAGGATTTGAGGAGGGACCTGATGCCTTTGAAGTCCTGGGCACAGTGCTGGGTGCATAGGAGCTCAGCGAAGGCCGGGAGTTACTATTGTCATCACCGTTATTCTCGCTGTCTACTTGCTATTAACCTAGCAGGTGGTAATGGGGTGCCTCTGGAAGGTGGGTGCTTGTCTGGGCTGTGGAGCACGGAGGGTGCAGCCATTCCTCATGACCGTACTGCAAAAGCACCCCCAGCTGCAAGGAGCTCCAAACAGGGTGAGGAAGCACCTCAGGGAAATGTTCTTCATATAAACTCTTGTTTAAAGTGCAGTTGCCGGGCATGGTTGCTCGCTCCTGTAATCCCAGCACTTTGGGAGGCCGAGGCGGGTGGATCACAAGGTCAAGAGATCGAGACCATCCTGGCCAACATGGTGAAACCCCGTCTCTACTAAAAATACAAAAATTAGCTGGGTGTGGTGGCACGCGCCTGTCGTCCCACCTACTCAGGAGGCTGAGGCGGAAGAATCTCTTGAACCCAGGCGGCGGAGGTTTCAGTGAGCCAAGATTGCACCACTGCACTCCAGCCTGGTGACAGAGTAAGACTCTGTCTCAAAAAAATAAATAAAGTGCAGTTAAACCAGGTGTGGCAGCTCATGCCTGTAATTTTCCCAAAGGGGAGACCAAGGAAGGAAGATCACTTGAGCCCAGGAGTTTGAGAGCAGCCAGGGCAACATAGGGAGATCCTGTCTCTACCCACCATCCTCCCAAAAAAATCTGCCAGGTCTGGTGGCCCATGCCTGTGGTCCCAGCTACTCAGGAGGCTGAGGCAGGAGGATTTCTTGAGCCCTGAAGGTGGAGGCTGCAGTGGCTGTGATTTTGCCCCTGCACTCCAGCCTGGGAGACAGAGAAGACCCTGTCTCAAAAAATAAATAAATAGGCCAGGCGTGGTGGCTCATGCCTCTAATTCCGGTACTTTGGGAGGTTGAAGCAGGTAGATCACGAGGTCAGGAGTTCGAGACCAGCTTGGCCAACATGGTGAAACCCTGTTTTGACTTAAAAAAATACAAAAATTAGCTAGGCATGGTGATGGGCACCTGTAATCCCAGCTACTTGGGAGGCTGAGGCAGGAGAATCGCTTCAACCTGGGACATGGAGATTGCAGTGAGCCGAGATTGCAGCCTGGGTGACAGAGCAAGACTCCATCTCAAAATAAATAACTAAATTACAATTTATTGTATTTCTTCTGAATTGAAATGTAATGCATTCTCATTATATAAAGTTGGGGAAAGATATACACGTGGAATGAAGAAAATAATTACTTATAATCCACTACACAGATGGAACAGTTATTAATATTTTCCTGTTTTTTTGTATATTTATATAATCATATATATAGTCATGCGTCACTTAATGATGGGGAGATGTTCTGAGAACTGTGTCGTTAGGCGACGTCATGATAGTGTGAATATCCTAGAGTGTCCCGACACAAACACAGATGGCAGAGCCCACTACATGCCTGGGCCGTATGGTAGAGCCTGTCGCTCTTAGGCGCCAAGCCTGAGCAGCATGCGACTGCACTGAAGACCGTGGGCAGCTGTAACGCAGTGGTAAGGATTTGTGTATCTAAGCATATCTAAACGAAGAAAAAGTACAGCAAAAATGCGGTATTATGACCTTATGGAACCACCGTCATGTATGTGATCTGTCACTGAAACATCTTTAAGTGCAGTGTGACTGTATAAATGTATGTAGTTTCAAAAAACTAATTGGGCTGGGGCAGTGGCTCACACCTGTGGTCCCAGCACTTTGGGAGCCTGAGACTGGCAGATCATCTGAGATCAGGGGTTTGAGACCAGCCTGGCCAACATGATGAATCCCTGTCTCTACTAAAGAATACGAAAATTATCTGGGCATGGTGGCACACGCCTATAGTCCCAGCTACTCAGGAAGCTGAGGCAGAAAAATCGCTTGAACCCAGGAGGCGGAGGTTGCAGTGAGCCGAGACTGCTCCACAGCACTCCACCTGGGTGACAGAGTGAGACTCCATCTCAAAAAATAAAAAACAAACAAAAAACTAATTGATACCACATTGAATGTTTGTTTGTATCCTATATTTTCCCTAAATATTGTATCATAAGCATTTTTCATTATATCAAAAATTCTCTGAGAACGTGCTTTTTAAAGGATATATTTTAATTTTTTAACTTTTTCTAATTTAGACAATAGAATTATAAAGAGGAAAACAGGAATTACTCGGAGATCATCATCACTGTTATTATTTTGGTAGATATCCTATCATTTTATATGTGGACATAGATAATATCTATACTTTTAAACAAAAAATTGAGATATGGTATATATAGGTATATACCTATACATATCAACATTATACAGAGGATGTATGTGTATATATATGTATCAACATTCTCAGTAACTTGTCTTGTGAGCATGGTGGTAAAAAGTCCTTGGCAACGTCTTTTAAAGGCTGCAGACATAACTGGACCATCCCCAGCTGACAGGCGTGTAAGTTGTCCGAAGTGGTTGGTGCCAGAGACACAGCTGTGATGAGCATCTCCGTGCATGGTTTTTGCACATTTCTCTAATGATCTTCCTGGGTTGTAGTACAAGGAGTAGAATTACTGGGTCAGAGAATATGGAACTGCAGGCCCTATTGCTGACCTGCTTTCCATAAACGTAGCATTTTACACGCCCATCTTCAGGATATGAAAGTCCTGAAGCCCAGCTAAGACGTGATGTTCACGTTTGGTGAGAACCCTGGAGGGGTGTAGGCTGTGGTCACCGTCCCTTCTCCACGCTTCGGTGGCCTACCCTGAATCACCTGCTTTGTGCGCTCCACGTACACAAAACTCATTTCTGGAGAAATGAGTTATCAGAGCCCACTAACCGCTGCTGAGTCTTGAATGAGGACCTTAAAAGCGTCCGGTACTCTTGTGAGCTCCTCTAAAGGTCTTTGGCTGATGTGCATTTTGTAGCAGCACACTGCTAGAAACAGAAGCAACTCTGAGAAAGTTCGTACAGCCCACGTCAGAGCGTTCCTGAGAGCAGATTTTCCAAAGAGCGCTCCCTAGAACGTGGCTTCCCAAATCGGAAGCTGCATCAGAGCCACCTGGGGTATTTACTGAATATTCAGCTCCTGGGCCTCACCCAGGTCCAGCCAATCAGAATCTCCAAGAACAGGCCTGGGAGTCTCTCCATCTCCTGGGGTGCTCACTGCGGAGGCACCCACATTTGAAGAGAGGGGCTCAACACACTGAGTGGGGTCATTAATCATTAGTCAGCTTTCTTCTTCTTTTTTTTTTTTTGAGATAGGCTTTTGCTCTTGTCACCCAGGCTGGAGTGCAGTGGCATAATCTCAGCTCACTGCAACCTCCACCTCCCGGGTTCAAGTGATTCTCCTGCCTCAGCCTCCCATGTAGCTGAGATTACAGGCATGCACCATCATGCCCCGCTAATTTTTGTATTTTTTAGTAGAGACAGGATCTCACCATGTTGGCCGGGCTGGTCTCGAACTCCTGACCTCAAGTGATCCACCCGCCCCAGCCTCCCAAAGTGCTGGGATTACAGGAGTGAGCCACCATGCCCAGCCTCAGCCTTGTTCTTTGGTTACAAGTTACAGAAACCTAAGTTGACCCATTTTCTAGTTTGCAGAATTCCAGGTCCAGGGGAGTGGTGATGGCAGCAGAACCTAAGCCAGGCCCTCATCCATGTCACCAGGAGGATATCTCTCTTTTGGCCTTGTTTTCTGCTGTGCTGCCTCCCTCTGGGTCCAGCCCCCAGCCCATGTCCAGTGGGGTTCAACCCCAGAGGCAGGAGCCTGTCTCCTTCCCAGAGCTGCAGACACTGTCACTGTCAGCACTGCCATTGGGACATATGCCACTAGGGTTGGTCAGGCCTGGGCACTCTCCTTCCTGCAGTGTGGGGTGGTCTCAGCCCCCCTTAACCCTAAGGACTGTGACCAGGTGACAGCTAAGATGTGGGCAAGTGTCTGAGTCTCTTCATGCCTCAGCTTCCTCATCTACAAAATGAGTGCAACAGTCGCACCCAGGAGCACTCCAAGCAGGTGGCCTGGCTTCCAGGAATTCTGAGCAGGTTGAGCAGGGCAAAAAGTGGGTCCCTCTTCATTCACACTTCCTTTTTTTTTTGGAGACAGGGTCTCACTATGTCACCTGATCCTCTAGCCTCAGCCCTCCAAGTAGCTAGGACTACAGGTGCATGCCACCATGCTCAGCTAATTTTTTAAATTTTTGATAGAGACGGGGCTTCTCCATGTTGGCCAGGCTGGTCTCGAACTCCTGAGCTCAAGCCATCCACCCTCCTCGGCCTCCCACAGTGCTGAGATTCTAGGTGTGAGCCACCATGCCCAGACCTCATTTCCTTCTCATTTTACATTCAAAATGCTGCCT